ACATGTTTTGTTTTTTTTCCAAAATACAGGCTTGGCATAATGGTGCTTTTTGGCTTTCCCCCTCTTCTTTATTGAGTTATACACCTTTTTTGTGCATGTAATAGGTTTGCAAAGTGAAAAAGCCCGAAATCCAGCGCAAAGGGAGTTCCCATCTCCCATAGAAAACTCTGCTCTGAACTGCTTGAAAACAGCTTGTTTGTAGTCCAGCTGCTTCCTTTCATCCCCATGACTTCACAGAGATGAAAGCTAAGGCTTGCCAAGAGGCTACTCCGACACTCATTGGCCCTCTTCTCTTCTCATTGGCCCGCCCTTCCCTGCTTCTGATTGGTTAGGAGTCCTTAACTAGGAACGGCTCATGTGCAACTCCCAACAAAGATCATCTAGAGACAAGATGTATCACTCCATAGCTAAAATGAAGCGTTCACACACAAGGTGAAAAGCTGCAGCAATGTGCAGTATGACAAAAAATATGGTGTTTTTTGAAAATTAAACCATGTAAACCTGTTCTGGTACTAAATAGGATTTTGAACCGGAAAATGAGCATAATACCACCTCTTTAATATAACATTAGCTAACATTAGTCATAATGTCAAGATTTGCTGGATGCAATGTGGGTTATCCCTCCTTAACATTACTTAAGGTCAGAGGTTGACAAACCTCTTTCAGTTCAGTGTAGTGTTTTCAAGTGTAAATGCCTTGTCTTTGTATCAGTGTCTCTGCTCTTGTTTCTTGGATTGCAGAGGAAATTCACTTAAAAGTGGTAGGCTAATTTGGGCAGTCCTTTATAATAAAATTATAAAATATAAATATGTGCTGGCAATACCCTTTTTTAAATGTTTACAATTCAACAAATAATGTGAAGAAAAAAAAATCACAGACCCTCTGATTGTAATTACAAAGAATTATGGTCAGTTTGAGTGCAGCCTAATTGAATAATGGTCATATCAGTGAACGAGTGGGAGTGTGGAGTGATTTACCGCACAGAGGAGTGTGCTTATCTCTCCCTCTGTCCCATGCAGGAAACACTGGGATGTCACCAGGCAGATTAAAAGCTTGGCACAGCTGATACAGAGCGCTCAAAATGGATGGGGTGGGGACCTCTGACTGCTGTGAGAGGGGTTTTGGAGGGGAGGGGACAGGCGGTGTTGTGACCTTATGAGTCCTGTTTGGCAGGGATTCATTCAAAATCTGGGAATTCCAGTGGAAGTTAAGGGAGGAAAAAATGTGTAACATCATGTAACTTGAATGGAATTTTGAATAGTAAGCATATTTTAGACTCAACGTCTGCCAAGTCTTTTTGAGCTCACATTAAACTACCCTCATGGGAAACATGGAATTCATCAACATTGTGTTATATTTTGTAAAACAAAAACTTGAAGAGATAGTTTGGGTGCAAGAGGAGTTTATAAGGATCAGCTGCCTTGCTTTTTAATTGAAGTGAATGTTTAAAACTGCTGCTGGTCACAGTGCAGCTGTATCACTTATAATTGAATTCCTGACAGCTGCAGTGCTTGGAACTTTAACCAGTTCTTACAAGGGCTACAAAATGAGCTGGGCAGTTTATTTTAAAATGACACTACAGAGGCTAAACGCGGCACAACTTCAGAATAAACTGCTTTCATTTTCTGTGTGGTCACCAATGTATTTCTTCCCTTTTAAGCAAGAGCTGACTGAAGCTGGCTTCCCTCGAATTGAGGCAATATGCAGACTGAAGAGAGGTGTTTGATGGGAACACAGGCAGACAGATCTGGAGGAGCAGCTGCATAGAGGACGCTGGGCCAAATATAGAAAGGGGACAAGGGCCAAAACATATCACACATTTTTTCCCATTAACAGCATAGGTTTGAATCTAACTTGGCGCCAATTAGTTGCAGTATAGGCGCTAGGACTTAAAAATAGAGCATGGCAGGGGTGACAATACACCCGGAACGCAGAGACAGATATCTCTGTCATGGCGGCGTGTGATTTCACGTGTAATCATGTGAAGGAAAAATAACAGTATTCATATCACCAGCTGGTTCGTTATAACTCTGTGACGTGGAAGGTTATGTGACAAATGGAGCTTTAGACATTTGTTGCTATTACCTGTCATGCTACTTTGAGTGCAGAGCTTCAGCGCAGGCCTATTTTCAGTCTGATTCGGGTATGTTTGGCAGGATCTCTGCTGCTGTATCAGTGTGACCAGCCGCTTTTTCCCGCTTGGTTTCAACATTTGCTTCTCTTATCTCTGCAGTGGAGGGCTGGAATGAGCGGCATCCAGGCCTCAGACCTACCTGTTTACTCTGAGGGCTTCCTCCATTGTCTCCCCCCCTCGACCCCACCCCCCCACCCCAGTTTCCTTTGAAGGATTTTTCACATTTTTGTGCTACTTGTTGTTTTGGGAACAGGTCATCAGCCAGGCACTCCCGTTGGCATTCCTGAATTTGTGTCTGGTCGTGCTCAGCAGGGATTCTTTCCTACAGCACATATCGTGTCTTTCATACACACCTGAGATATTTTTACAGCGGTAAACTAAACAGTATGACAGTGTCATCACTTCATCCTTTTATACTGAGCTGAAACCTGATAACTTTTGTATATTCCCAAACTTCAGCCCCAGGTTTACTGTGGAATGAAGTTACCCCTTGTTGGCTAATCCCATTTCACTACAGAAATAGACTCAGTTTTAGTAACTGTTATGCAATTCGTTACAGTTCATGGTTAAGTGTATACATGACTGGCTAATACCCCCACTAATCCAGTTCAACCTAATCTACTGGACACCACTACCCTTCTAAACTTAATTGTATTTCTAGAACATTTATTTTGGTAGAAGTCTTTATCTATGCAATTAAAGGAATGAACATGTAATTTTTTTATTTCTTATTTCATACCAACATGTACTGTATGTGTTCAGATCACACAGGATCTCCAAAGACAATACTAATCTCTGAAATAACTTAATTAACTGATAATAAATCTGATTTCTCATTATTTAGATTTATTAAGGTGAATGTTTACCTCTTTCACTGAAGACAAGTGCTCTTCTAAAAGCGTCCTGCGAATGGACAGCTCCTTAATCCTTATTATCTAAAGAGGCCTTCAACGAGATTACAACCTGGCACGAATATTACAAGTTACCATCTGCTGCCGCTGGTGGAGAAAATCTCGCTCTCCTTTTAGTTTGTACAATCTTCTGCAGGTGCAGCGTTGCTCTTATTTAAGTCCCAAATAAGAATAAAACACAAGTACAAAACACTGAATGATGCTTTATTATACTCTAATACAACAGGTCTAAACTGCTCTCAAAACATAAACGTGTGTCAGTTTAATATGAGCTCCCTTTGTCTTCTTATATTTTTTATTTTCCACTTGTAAGTCATTGTGACTTTTTTGCTGAAAATGTTTTTCTTTTAAAATGTTTTGGTTTAGCAAAAACCTCATTGACGATATATTCCCAGGGATATCTTCTTTGCAAATGTGTTTCAGGCCTATTTAACATAATAAAACATCTAATAAACAAATCTCAGGTTCCTATTCCACCTCTTCGCCCTGCTATGACAGCTCCATATGCATCTGTGTCACACACCTTTCTGAAGAGGATTTCCGAGCACTGCACTTGCAGTGGAGATTAACTTTGAGCAAAGATTAAGCAAATTAACCATGATGGTGTCTCCCGAAATACACTGCGCTGTTGCTGTGCAGTTAGTCCAACAGCAAGTCATCATGTAGAGCAGGAAATAATATTTTATGGATTCTTTCAAAGTGGTTGGGAATTTCATGATGCCGGCGTAGGTGAGTTCACTTTAAAATCCTTCAACTTTTGTCTGTTTGCTCGTTTATTCACCGCCTCCAGTGATAATCTGTACTTATGTGTTACACCTGCCGCATTAGAAATGCAATGTCCATAAATTTTAGCCAGATCTTGTTTTCTTATTGTCACTAACAATTACTACAAATAAGTATTTCTGAAAAAAAAACTAATGCTGGTCTACTGACAAATAATACCAATACTGCTCATATTAAATAATACATACAACTTAAACCATTAAATATCTTTTTTTAAAGTGACATTTAATATATTCAATGGAAAGAACATTCTGTAATTTATCACTTTATCTTTCATGTGAAAGGCTCAACAATTTCGCAATTCAATGTTTTAAAAGTTTTGATTAATTGATTTTAAGTGTTTTGAGACATCAGTTATGTGATACAACATACGGTTTCCGTTTTCATAGATCATTAGACTGTTTTAATTGTTGAAAAATGTTATAAACATTTTCTACATTAAAAGCATAAATCTGAAACATTGTAGAAAATTATTCTTATACCATTATAATTATGCTAAAGGTACTACTTCAGTAAATCATAAAACTGGTAAAAGAGAATAATCTGCCAAACATTTCTGTATCACATGTTAGGGTCTAAGGTTTTGTTAAAACCCATGTAATCAAATAATTGAAGATGCCGTTCATGTGGCAGGTTTCCCAGAAGTCAGGTCACATCACCCAACAGACACAGTCGCACAAAGTAAACAACATATGTTTGCAAGACGTCATTCAGCTGTTTACAAGTTAGAAATGTTTCAAGCTGTCTTGAACATGGCATTTTGTTTGTGTGTTTGCTCAATTGCAGAAGTCCTATGACAAGCATATATCTCTTTTGATAAACCATAAACAAACCATGTTTAAGTCCTCTCATAATTATGTTATTATGTTATATAATACAATTTTCTTTATATATTTATAAAATTGGTCAAAACAAAGAGACGATATCTTTGAAGTTATTGTTTACTGTAAAAATGTGCAATGTTTCATGTGAAGAAGCAACTTCAGAAACCTTCAGGGCCTCCACACCATTGATTCTGTGGAAGCTTTTCTACTAAGGATTAAAAAACATAATTGTCTCAACATTTATTGTATCGTCCACCACACAGAACCTCAATCAATAAAGTGGAAAAAACAGGAAACCTTCTAATTTCTTTATTTGTCTTTTCCTCCCCTTTCAGACAATCAGCAATCATGAATGAGATGGGGATTCGGAGGGTTGCCCATGACCAGTCCACAGGGAGTGGGCACACCTTTGGCACCCCACGCCACCCAAGTATCATTGACCCTATCCTGTCAAAGAGGGTCTGCTTCTACAAAAGTGGAGATCCTCAGTTCAACGGTCTGCGCATGGTCATCAACAACCGCACCTTCAAAACATTTGATGCACTCCTGGACAGTCTCTCTAAAAAGGTTCCCTTGCCGTTTGGGGTGAGGAACATCACCACTCCTCGGGGGGTTCATGCAATCTATACTTTGGATGAACTGGAGGATGGGAAATCTTACATCTGCTCTGACAGCCGTAAGGTAAAACCTATCAACCTGATGCTGGCCAGGAAGAAGCTCCCCCCCTGGTACCACACCAGGCCTGCTAGTTCCCGTCGTCAGACAGTGCAGCAGGCCAGGTTTTTCCCTGGCCGGAACATCCACAAGAAGGAGGCGGTGTTTGTACGCACACCAAGGAGGCTACTGGTTTTTCGCAATGGTGACCCCACTGTAAAACACAGTGTGGCGCTTCACAAGAGGACTACACCCACTTTTGCGTCCATCCTGGAATATATTTCAGAGCTCATCCAGTTTCATGTGGTGAAATTACACACTTCTGATGGCAGACGTGTGAGTGCTCTCCTCTGTCAATGCAAAAAATACAACACTTGGACTGTAAAAACCATCACATGAGGAGAGAAAGTGTTAAGCTCCTTTAGCAACTCACCTTAATACGTAGAAAGGCCTTCTGGGATAGTGCACTGTAAGGCTTTGGGTCTAAGATCTATTGTAAATTCAACACGAAATTGCAAAGTGCCATTTTAACAAAATACATTTATTTAGACTTGTCATACATATACATGTAATCTGCAATTACATCACTCCCTAACATATGTAGATTCAAGGTTAATAATTTTCTTCCTATTCAATCTACAAAAATGCCATTAGAGTGACAAATCCCTTAATTTTTCTGTCCACTGCAGGTGGATGGTTTTCCAGGCTTGATATTGTGCTCTGGGATTGTAGTGGCCGCAGGCAAGGAGCCATTCAAGCCTGCAAACTACCATGCACAGATATCACCAGCTCCAACAAAGCTGCTGACCAACCGAATGGGCCTCAGAAGACTAAAGGCTTTAAACCGTAAGTTTACATATATGTTTTTTAATGGCTCGCTATGTAATCATTTTGCTTTATTTAGTTGATGAGAACATGTACGCTCATCAGTGGATCGTATAACACATACAGTGGGTCTGTAGTAATCTACCTGCTCTCATGGGATGAAGATTGGGAAAGTGCTGAGGCAATGATATTACGCATAATACCGTGGATGGCCTACATACACTGTCTACGTGACTGTCTGTCTGAATTGCTGTACTATCTTTCTAACTTTTCTTTTTTCTCTTTCTTCTTCTTTCATGCATACTGGGTTTCTTCTTGAATTCTTACCTGAAACCTTTGGACACTTTTACTTAATTATCGATATGAACCTTTTTCGTACCTGATCGGCTCTTTTGACTGGATGAAAAGGTAAAAAGAAGTCCCGATCATATACTTCAAAGACAAGAAATTTCTCCCCCTCATCCGAGAGGTATATTGTGAATCGGATCCATAACTCCATCGCAGAAGGTTCGTGTGACCTACCCAGTGACCACACAAACTCTGCTGAGTTGGAATCAGGCCGTGTACTGGAGTCAGTAGCAGAAACAGAGGGCGACATCTGCCTTGGTGATGGAGCAGGAGGGCAGGACTGCACGCTGCCCACAGAGGACGACATTGAGAAGTCCTTTCGCGTGAACCAAGATGGTAGCATGACAGTGGAGATGAGGGTGCGGCTGACAGTTAAGGAGGAGGAAACAATCCATTGGACAACCACTCTGACACGCTCAAGTTTGGCCAATCAGTGCAATGCAAGCCATTTATCGGAGTCTGTGGCAGAGCAGGAGATCGTCTCACTAAAGTCAAACTCTCTGGATTTACAAAGTCCTGCTATCTCCATTGACACCATCAACAAGGACAAAACTAAGGATAACAACGACGAGGATCCACCATCGCTTGGCAATGGAGTGTTCAGCGAAAGTAGTAATGAAGAGGATAATATCAAAGCACAGATGGATGTGGTGTCCCCCAGGAGAGCTCCTACACCGGGGCACAAGCAAATTAGAAAAAAGCAAGCCTCTATGGAGAGCATAAATTCAGTGACGGCAGATGGGATTCAGGAAGGGATGGTTGGTTCTTACTCGTACATAGAGCAGACAGAAGATGGAGCCATGACAGAGCAGTACTGCATGGTCAAACAGAGTAGCGCTAGACCAGTGCCCAAACCTAGAAGACTTTGTTCTGTGGATGCCAACAATATAAACGTCAGAAATGTATCCACTTTCAAATCAGCAGGGATGACTGAAATTCTACAGATTGAATCTGGAGAGGAGGTCACTGAAACTGTCTTACATATATATGAACAGCAGACCTGCCATGATAACTTCCTTGCAAACCTTTGTGCACAGGATATGTCTGCTTCTGGGGTTCCCTTTTGCAGGCCAGCTACCTCAGACACTGGACACCTCTCCTCCAATAATGACTTTGAACCCGAGCTCTGGAGACCATCAACAGCTTCTGAGTCAATTAGCATCTGGAGAGCTGAGAGCATGTCAGTAACATCTGATTTAACTTTGCCCTCATTGAAGACTGGTGCAATTCAAACAACAAATGCCCAGCAAAAATTCTTAAAGCCCACTCAAGGCAAAGATAAGCCTCAACAAAGAGAGGTCAATAAAGATAAGAGGGTGTCCTCGAGACCCAAAGTGATCAACAAACGTGTCCGTCGGTTAATGTCACCGGGAAGAAGACCAAATGAAAATTCAACAGGAGCAACACAGAAACGTAAGAAAGTGAAAACTTTCTCCAGCGCTGGGTTCATTAAGAAAATTTATGGGACTAAATCAAAATCAACAAAAAGCATGATGAAGTTCAAAAAGGGACTAACACAAAATGGAGATGGGGGTGTTACAACAGAAAGCTCAAAACAGTCGGATGACACCAAAAAAATTATTCTCAAAGACCCAAATATTCCATCAGCATTGAAAGAAAACACTAGCGAGACAGTTTCTTTTGAAAAAAGCAGGCTGAATGTTGCTCCCAGCGAAGTAAGTCCACCACGGGGTACACTGACACGGCAGACATCAATTCATCAGGAGAAAAAGAACTTAAACGAGTCCTATGATGTTGGTGAAAGCATATCACTGTCTGCTTTTAACTCCTCCAGCTCTGTTACTTATGAATATGTGGAAAAATGGCTGGAGAAAGCCAATCTTAACCCCACAACTTACCCAGATGAGGAAAGCAAAACTTTAGAAACAGAGGCAGTTACTCTTGTACAAACAGAAAATGGCAGGTGTGGGGAGTCTGAAAACAAGAACGGCTTGATGATTGTGGCAAAGGAGGTAACATGTTTGGAGAAGATGTCAGAAATAAAAACACGTCAAACTCTCAAAACTGAACTACCGCCTGAGAATGTGCAAGGAGCTTCTGTCAAACAGAGAGTCCAGTCCTTTGAAAACAAATTATCAAGTGCATCAATGGAGAAAACCACAGTGAATCAGGAAATCGTCCATAGTTGTACAACCACTACAGACACAGAAAACAACAACAGTTTAGCTCAGAATAATATAGAAGAAATAAAGCCTCTCCCAAATCATATCTGTTCTGAAACAATCCCACTATCCAATAAGACCTCAACAGAAATGGCTTCAAGCAGTCAAGTGGAAAATAAATCAAGTCCAATCCAAATCTCACTTCAAGAAGCAACACCTTCCGATATACTTTCAATGGAGCTACCACTACCACCACCACCACCACTTCCTGATGAAAATACAGAGTTATCAAACACTGAATATTATGCGATGGATGTATCCTCAGTTGCCAGTAGCCCATTGTACAGGGTCTCATCAGTGAGCAGTCAAATGTCAGATAATCATCCATTATCCATCAGTCCTACATCTGACAAGGCCACATCACCTAGCGACCACACAACAGAAATGACAACATCAATTCAGACTGACATTCCTTCCACGCTGGGGAAGGCACCATTACCAAGAACTCAATCTATTAAAAGGGCCCCTTTGGTCAGTAATCTGTCTCTTGACAGGAAAATGTCTCTCAGAAAGGCTCGTCTGGATAAATATACTTTATGTAGCGATGCCACTTTAGAGACAAGGCCATCATCTACTCCTATCAACACAGTGGGTGATAATGTGCTGCCGAACGGCATCTGTTATACAGGGACACAACTGAATGAAACCCCACCAGAAGAGACACAGCAATCAAACAGCATCTTGAATTTGAAAAGTAGTCTGACATGTTGTACTTCTACATCTCATCCTAGTTCAACGTCTGAAGAGAGAATGTCATCAACCAGTGTTTCATCAAATGAGGTTCCAACACCAAGCAATCTTCCATTTAAAGAGACTGAAACAAATGCAACACAATCTCTAACTCAGAAAGAGGCATCATCACCTAAACCCTTGGTGAAAAAAGTCAAACTTATGAGCAGTCAGTCTCCAGAGAGAAAATCCAAAACCAAGAAATTTTCTTCAGAAAGTCCTCATAACTCTCCAAAATTATCATTACACCATGATAAAACTATGTCACCAAATATTGGCATACAAAAACGTGCAACGCCGAACGTTAGCCCCTCCACTGAGAGAAAGCAGATGCTTTATCAATCAAAATTGCAAAAGAAGCTATCTCCATATTCTCAGTCTTTGGACATGGTGTCACCACCTGTCAGATACAAGTCAAGTAGGAAGTTGCTCTCCAGAAATCTCTCCTCAGACAGTGCGTCAGAGTCAACAGATGAGACGGAAAGGAAAACATCAGCTGAAAGAAAAGGTCACCAAACACCACAGTCAATAAAATCAGCAGCTGAACTGGACAAAAATCAGAGTGATGACAGTAAGGCGAACAAGACAGATGAACTTATGACAGCAGATCAAGAGATATCCATTAAAGAAGCACAAACAATGCCACAGCCATTAAACATCGCAAATCAGCCAAACATGACACCGGTGCTTGAGGAGATCTGCTACTCAATAAAGTCAATTAGACAAATTACACAGAAGAAACGTCCCTCATGTCTGGAAAAGTCCAACAGCCTGCCTGACTTCTCCTCTCATGTGGTTTCTACGTTTGGCTCATCATCTAAAGCTCTCCTCGCTTTCCTGTCCGTCATGACCCTAAAGGAAGGCATAACTAACATAAACATGGAAGAGCTGAATGCAAACAATGTCAGCTGTGCCGAGGCTTTAAAAATGATTGATTCTCTCAGAGAAATTGCCAGCATTGAGGATTCCCACGAGCTAAAAGTTAGTTTGTCAGATTTACAGCGGTCAGCTTCGAAGCAGCTCCTGCAAAGCTGGAAGGGCTTTCAGGAACTCAGCGACAAATGCAAGAGTCGCAGCTCAACACGAAATGATTCACAGCAAGAACTCGTAACCGAAGTGAGTCCTGAAAAAGACTGTGGCATTGATGAAAATGTAATTGATGAGATCATGGATAATCTTGACATACCTGAGAAGCTCAAGGACGAATTGGCCTCTCTTTCAATGGGTGTCAAAAGTGACAGTGACGATAAAGAAAAGATGTCTGCCAGGATCAGTGAAGATGCCAAGATATCCCATTTCTCCATAGAGGGTGCTGCTAATGTCAAAGATGTTACTCAAGATGAGAAAGCTAATGCTGATCTGAGTTCCATCATTAAAAAATTCACAGACATTAACCAGCCAGAACAACCCAGCATGGGTAGTATAACAGAGACAGCGAAGGACAAAACAACTGATCAGGCAACTAAAGAAGAGGATAGCCAATATGGGCAGAACAGTGCGGCCAAATTTCGACCAGCTGAACCTAATGATGAGCAGATACCAGAAGAAAGACAGCTTTACAGTACAGTACTGTCTGTAAATGAGAACGCGGAGGTTATGAAGGCATGTATGGAGGTAGAAAATCAAGAAAATCAGGGCGAGAAAAAACAGCAGCACGGCCACAATGAAGACGAATCCAACCAAGAAAAGGCAAACATGAATGGCGTAATCAGCAGCACGACAAATCTTGAACAAGACAATTGTACCTCTGAGGTAGAGAAGCAAGACATGAAAGGCAATAAGCTGCAGATGCACAGTCAGGGGAACATGAGTATCCTTGACAAGGAGCTCCCCCATGATGCTGAGTCAGGTTCAGAACAGGAAGAGCAGGACACGTCAAGTGCCAATAAAGATTTAGAGCAGAAAGTGAGCATTGAGCAAAGTGTGTCTAGCTCGGAAGCAGATGAGCAACTTAGATCAGAAGAGGAATCAGAAGTTGAATGTAAGGAGATACAACATGGGAGCAGGGAGAGTGATGATTTGTCCAACCCTGAAAGTCACTCTGAGGAGGAAGAAGACAAGCAACCAAGCTCCAATAATGACATAGAACTCAATGTAAGAGAGACAGAAAGAATATCCAGCCCATACAGTCAAAACAAGTCTTTGTCAGAGGAAGAGCAACCAGAGGCTGGATGTAAGGAGCTGAGCAACAAAGATGCTTTGTCTAACCCTGCAAGCCCATCTAACTCAGAGGAGGAACTGCAGAGTCAAGGAAGCTGTATGAGACTGAATGCCAGTGTTGATGAATGCACATATATCTCAGATGTTGATGAGCCATTTTCAGAGGAAGAGCAACCTGAGGCTGAATGTAACAGACTAAAGGTCATCATTGGGGAAAGTTTGTCTGGCAGTGAGGAAGAGCAGGGGACCATGGAGGATGAAAAACACCTTGATAATCTTCCAGATCACAGGGAACAAACATGTAAAGCGTTGATAGAAGAGACAGAGGAGGACAAGGTCAGCTCAGACAATGAGGACCACCACGGGGATAATACACACATTTGTGATAAAAGTCAGAATACTGTAGAAGGGGATTCATATACCAAAAAAGACAATAGCAGTTTAATAAAGTCTGATAGTTTAGCAAAGTGTCACATCATTAATGCAGATGAGGATAGTGGGAATGACCACAGCAGCTGTGAAGAACATGTAGAACAACCAAAGATTGAAGATAAACAAATGAGCAGCTCGATTGAAGAATTGAGCTACTCTGAAAAAGAGTCAAGCTCAGAGGAGGAACAAGCTAATATGGACGGTTACCTAGAAGAGAGCTGTACAAAATATCAGCAAGCTCCTGCATTGGTAACACAGTCTGAAGTTACAAAATGTGAAAAGGTTGTGGAAAAACTAAAGCATCAGTCTGAAGAAATAACATCCCAATCTGTCGCAGAGAGAGTAATTCTTCTGGAAAAGCAAGTTGCTGATGCCCAGAAGATAAAAAATACAACAGAAAGTTCTCCTGTGAGATGTTTTTCGCAAAGACATGCCTGTCTTGAGTCGGATGTTGAGGATTCACCCTCTGAATTGCCCCCATCTCAGTCAGCTCTCAGCGCCCAGTCAGCTCCTCAGTCATCATTATCTTTCAGCTACGATTCCAGTGGCGTTATAACCTCAGAGCCTGAAGGCAACAGGGTCAGATACATCAGGGAAATGTTCCTGGCAAAGAGTGGCACAGATGTAAAGCCCGGACAGAGATGTTTCCCAAGCCCGAACACATCAGAGCTGTCCAAGTTAAGAGCAGAGACCTCAGCTAGTGGCGGGTATCAGTCTCAGACTTCAAGTGAGCTGTCTAGCGGCGAAGATGATTCAGCACGTAAGTCCATCACCAAAGGTTTTGTGAGAAGAACAATTGAAAGGCTTTATGGCAAGAAGGATGCTAATCCTGATGAGGAAGCAAATGAAAGGCCCCCATCTGCGCCAAAACAGAAAAAGAAAGAACACTCAAGCATTTTCTCTCCCTTCCACATAGCTGGGTCCAAAGCCATGTCTGAGTTGTCTTACTTCAGTTCCACTAATGCACTGGACACCTTAAGTGAAGCAACACGATGCGTTGCTTTTAACGCACAAGTCGGGCCTGAAGAGAGTGTCCGATGGCTCCTCAGAGAGAACACACTGATCAGAAAGTCTGTTTCAGACCCAGTTGGAATAAACAAAACCTTCACAAGCTCTCCTCAAGGCGGAGCAAAATGCGAGGATGCAGAAGAGAACGCCTCAAGTCCCCCTTTTAGCACAAAGTCTGACCTGGAAGACAATAAGTCACTTTCAAGGAAGTGCACCTACTTTTCTTTGCCCCATGCTAGTGACTCAGATGCATGTCAGGATGACCTGAGCATAGTTAGCAAGAGCGGTGAGAGTATCACAGATCCAAAGGACAATTCAGGGGACACCAAAATGGGGGCAGATAGGAATGGCTCGCTGCCAGTTGTTGGTATTACTGACTTTAAGATGAAGGATAACAAAGTGCACCCGTTGACAGAGCCTCCACCTGATGGTGAGGCTGTAGTTGTGCAGCCTGGGAAAGGTCAGGGTGTTATGAACAGAAGGATTCAGGAGCCTGACATGCTGGACTTACTGTACAATTTTTGTGGTCAGAATTGTCCCATCCTGTGAGGACATTTCCTTCAGCTTTATAACACACAATCAAAAAACAAGGACTATTCTTGTATAAATGAGTGTACTCATTGGGCTACAGTATAATATATTGTATTTGGTGCCTACATTTTGATGTTGCAATAGCCTTGGCGTAACACACTATCAAATGAGCTAACTACCGAATGTCTAACAACATCACAGATGCACAAGCCAATGGATTAACCTTCATTTTACCAAGTATGTTAGGAGCTTGTGATCAATTTCTTCGTTTTTGCTCCTTGTTTCTTGTAAAATTAGTGTCTTTTTGGAACATCTTGATTGTGTATTTGCCATTCACTCCAGAGCAGCTCTTTTCTACTTATGAGTTTTCCTGTCAACAAAACGCATACCCAGAGCATTACTGTATTCTTGTTTTAAATCTCTTAAAATGGATCCCCACAGATGTCAGGCAACAAGGCCAATCCCCACTGCACTGACTGAATGGGTCAATTTTTGTTCAGACATGGTCAGTAAATACTCAGTGTGATGCTTGATTTAATGTTGTTTTGTATATCGTTGTCTAAAGTGTAAATAACAGGTTTACTGTTTTTCACTAAGTAACCATAGGTTAACACATATTTACAATAACCAGACCTTTATAATTAGAAAAAATGGATTTATGCTTTTCAATGTGGCAGCTGTGACAAAATATGTCTCTTTAAATTGACGTGTAAGAATAAAATTGTGCATGTATGTGGGGAGTCTTTTTTACTTTGTAATGAGCTTTTCCCAGACTAAATTCAGTCCAAATCATCTCCATGGATCCTGTCTTGGATTAAACATACTGTGCATTTAGTCCCACAAGGAAACTCAGATGATCGAGATGCTCCCGGTGTCAGTAAAAGTCAAAATACCAAGGTGATCGTTGTGTTAAAGATGCCTTAGGAGGCTCAGCTCAGTTGTTGTCTTACAGATCAGTATCAGATCTCTGAGGATGGAGAACTCTTGTTTTCTCACTCTCTGCCTGAGGAAGTATCCATGTTGTTCTAAGGTTGCTTTGTTTCTCAGAAGTTGCCACTGTGTTGGCCCATGTTGTGACAGGAGTGTCGAGGAATGCAGTGTTTACATCTGCAACTACAAAAAGTAAACATAGCAGCCAGACATTTCCATCATATGACACTTATCTCAAACACTTGTGTGTGTATATATATATACACACACACACACACACACACACACACAAATATAATATATAAATATATAGTGCAAATAACTGCAATTTAGAATTATAAGCATTTTTCATTCTGGAAATAAATTATAATTTTATATAAAAAAAAAATTAAAAATCACTGACACACAAACGTGTACAAAAACAACGTCCACTAGATGGCATTGGTGACCAATACAACAGCCCTGACAACAACACTGAAGAGGGTTAATAGTAAAATGGTCAGAAGTTCACCTTTGAAGAAAAGTAAAAGCTTAGAGCGAGCACATAATCACACACTTGACTGTAGTTTGTTTGTTTTACATTGTTTATTATTTAAATAAATATTTACATAACAGCTTCGTATAAATCAAAGTTCTTTTTCTTACACGACACATCTTTCTAAAAGCAACTGTTGAACAAGAAGGAAGAAGAAAATAAGGGATGGATTACAATGATACTGTAAATCTGTGTTGAGAGAGGCAGAGATTCAGCTCCAACCCTCGTGTTTATCACTGAACAAATAGTCCTGTTTGCATTCATCAAGGCTGAACCCAGATGACATTTACCATCACTCAAATACCAGTTAACACCTAAGCCTTAAGACCTTGCTCATCTTTCATTATAAATTGTTATAGTATGCATAAATCTACGTGATCGTTGGATATACATTTTAATTTGTTGTAACTAAGGAATAGGAAGATGATGCTCTACACTAACTGAATAAAAAGCCATAATGTATGGCTAAGAAAAACAAACAAAAAAGAAATCAACATCTTAAGTCACACATTATTCATTCAGGCACAAACAAAGCAATAGACAGCCTTAGTGAAATTAATAGACATCACTCATACAGTATAGGCTACAATGCCCTGCTAAATGGTGTACAGTATATGGCTCAGACTTGGAAAACTAAACGTTTCAGGCAAGGTGATCTAAGAAAATTAGAGCACACAATAAATGCCCGAGCTACATTTCTAACCCACGTCCCTTCAACCAGATTCATGAAATGAGTCCATCAGATTAAATCACCTGGTTTGAAATGTTACCACAAAACACGACAGTGAAATCAAGGGGACTGAACTTCAACCTTTACCGATCACTACAAGTCGTGCAGCTGTCACTTTATCAATGTTGCTTAAAGGCAACTTCAGACGATGACCGCATCGCTGTCAACCGCAAAAAGATGAACATGAAAAAATCATCATGTTATTAACAAAAACATTAAAACAGAATGAGGACAAAACTCTAAAATAAGCGTTTTATTTTATGGAGTCAGTCGACCTTATGCTTCTCAGGGACTAAAAGAAAAACAATGAAATGCTCTTTGTTTTCTATTGCTGTCAGGTCATGCATGTGAACTCGATTCTTCTAACAAAACCAATTGTTTACTTAAAAAATTATAAAGAAAATACTCTTTTTTTTTTCCAAAATACTATTCGGGGAGGGTTTAAAGGGTAAATTAATAAAAATTTTTAACAACATTTTGCTGTTTTCATCCTGAGATTGAAACCAATGTGTATCCTCTCCAAGGAGTAATTTAAAGTTTTTGTTTTTTTGAATTGTTATGCGAACACTGCAGACACCGTTTAGTGTTGTTGCCTCCCGCTGGTCAGCGAGCGTCTAAGTTAAATCCACTGTTACACTTCCTGAAGATCCTCATACTGCGTCAGTTTTGGGCCGGGACGAGCGTGTTCCACTCACAAAGTTATAAACCAAAAACTGAGAAGTGCCAAAATAATGTGTGGCAAAGAGTTTTCCATCGGGGGTAGGGTCGGAAAAGGCGATCTCATCTTTGCTCAGGTATGAACCGTATACAAAGTTGTTCCTGCGTAAGATAACAAAAAGACTGTTAATCATGCTCAACTTCTTTTGAGGTGATATGGCATGAAATCTTGGTGGTTTGAAGACACACTGACCTGAGGCACTCGAGCAAGCGTGAGGCGATGCCCTGGCGTCTCATCATGCCGACGACCCAGATGCGACTGATGCCACAGATGGCCGGCTCTGGCGTCGTGGAGCAGCACCAAGCTCTCTGACGTTCAAACATCACCTTCTCTCCCTCCGAACCCTCCGGCACGGGCTCCTCAATCACCCTGTACCCCTGTGAGCATTCACAAGGCTCAGTATGCTAACATATACAGTGAGGAAAATAAGTATTTGAACACCCTGCTATTTTGCAAGTTCTCCCACTCAGAAATCATGGAGGGGTCTGAAATTGTCATCGTAGGTGCATGTCCACTGTGAGAGACATAATCTATAAAAAAAAAATCCAGAAATCACAATGTATGATTTTTTAACTATTTATTTGTATGATACAGCTGCAAATAAGTATTTGAACACCTCAGAAAATCAATGTTAATATTTGGTACAGTAGCCTTTGTTTGCAATTACAGAGGTCAAACGTTTCCTGTAGTTTTTCACCAGGTTTGCACACACTGCAGGAGGGATTTTGGCCGACTACTCCACACAGATCTTCTCTAGATCAGTCAGGTTTCTGGCCTGTCGCTGAGAAACACGGAGTTTGAGCTCCCTCTAAAGATTCTCTATTGGGTTTAGGTCTGGAGACTGGCTAGGCCACGCCAGAACCTTGATATGCTTCTTACAGAACCACTCCTTGGTTATCCTGGCTGTGTGCTTCGGGTCATTGTCATGTTGGAAGACCCAGCCTCGAACCATCTTCAATGCTCTAACTGAGGGAAGGAGGCTGTTCCCCAAAATCTCGCAATACATGGCCCCGGTCATCCTCTCCTTAATACAGTGCAGTCGCCCTGTCCCATGTGCAGAAAAACACCCCCAAAGCATGATGCTACCACCCCCATGCTTCACAGTAGGGATGGTGTTCTTGGGATGGTACTCATCATTCTTCTTCCTCCAAACACGGTTGGTGGAATTATGACCAAAAAGTTCTATTTTGGTCTCATCTGACCACATGACTTTCTCCCATGACTCCTCTGGATCATCCAAATGGTCATTGGCAAACTGAAGACGGGCCTTGACATGTGCTGGTTTAAGCAGGGGAACCTTCCGTGCCATGCGTGATTTCAAACCATGACGTCTCAGTGTATTACCAACAGTAACCTTGGAAACGGTGGTCCCAGCTGTTTTCAGGTCATTGACCGGCTCCTCCCGTGTAGTTCTGGGCTGATTTCTCACCTTTCTTAGGATCATTGAGACCCCACGAGGTGAGATCTTGCATGGAGCCCCAGTCCGAGGGAGATTGACAGTCATGTTTAGCTTCTTCCATTTTCTAATGATTGCTCCAACAGTGGACCTTTTTTCACCAAGCTGCTTGGCAATTTCCCCGTAGCCCTTTCCAGCCTTGTGGAGGTGTACAATTTTGTCTCTAGTGTCTTTGGACAGCTCTTTGGTCTTGGCCATGTTAGTAGTTGGATTCTTACTGATTGTATGGGGTGGACAGGTGTCTTTATGCAGCTAACGACCTCAAACAGGTGCATCTAATTTAGGATAATAAATGGAGTGGAGGACATTTTGAAGGCAGACTAACAGGTCTTTGAGAGTCAGAATTCTAGCTGATAGACAGGTGTTCAAATACTTATTTGCAGCTGTATCATACAAATAAATAGTTAAAAAATCATACATTTTGATTTCTGGATTTTTTTTTTAGATTATGTCTCTCACAGTGGACATGCACCTACGATGACAATTTCAGACCCCTCCATGATTTCTGAGTGGGAGAACTTGCAAAATAGCAGGGTGTTCAAATACTTATTTTCCTCACTGTATTATAAAAATACATCTGTGAGGATGTGCTGACACATTTCCTGGCTGTTACAATACTGCAGTCTCATACCTCTTGTATGTGCTCTGCAATAAGGCATCCACCCACTTTCTTGTCATTGGAGATGAAGAGGAAGGTCTTGGTCTGAGAGGGACACTTGGTCTCCACCTGCTGGAAGCCGAGGTCATTGTCCACCATCTCTCTGATCTCCTCAACCTGAGAAACAAAGTTACTGTGTACTATATATAGGATACTATTTTCCATCGTATTGCCTTCAACTTCATTGCTGATAGTGTTGTTCTGGCTGACTATGTAACTGGAGTCAAGTAAAGTGACTTTTATTTATATAGCTCAAAGTCACCAATTTACCATCTAACAGCATGTGGCACCCTCAATCCTTCAAACCCTGAATATGGCTCTAAAACAGACAAAGAACAACAACCATGTGTTTCTTTTACCATTCTAATTTATCCGAGGGAAGACAGCAATTACATTTCCACTTTCAAAACAAAATGCATTTTAATTCCTTAAGCAGGGCTGTCCTCAGCATTTTCTCTCTTTCTGCCCATGTGGCGGTAACATTAGGTGACATGAAAGAGTTTCTGAGAGGGACAGAAACCTGGCGGTGGCCAAACATCGGCCTGTGGCTAATGACATCAGAAGATTTAAGGATTGTTAAATGCCAGAAAAACAGAACAGCAGAAACGCAAATACTATACCCAGGTCCATCTGGAAAATTGTATTAACAGTCAGAAACCCTTCTTCTTCTTATCCTTCTATTATATTTCTGACGAATTACACAATTCACAGCAGGCGGAAAAACAGGAATGTCAAAAAAGTTATATTCTTATTAAATGGGGCATGTAAACGCACATCAGATGACTTTATGTAGCGTTAAGTTGGAATCTCTAATCAGAATGATTTCAGTCGGGTTGAAGAAATATTGTACACGTAAACGCTGCTAGTGATACCCACCACCGTTAAACAATCCTTTGATGTCAAAGGTTAGCCCCTGTAAATATACTGTACCTTCTTCAGAGCATATTTGGGGTCATCTGGCAGCACAAGTATGATCTTGCCATCAGGATACTCTCCCAGAATCCTCTCTTTTTTCCATCCCTGGAAAATATAGGGACAAAGGGGTACATATACAATATGCAAGAAAAACTCTTGAGCAACATTTTTATTGTACTAATGAGGCTTTCATGTTCTTCATTTGCTATTGCTGTAACAGTTCATATGTGCTAACATTTTTTCAAATTCACCATATTCACCAAATGTGCAAACGACCATTTACTGTATTGACTATTAATAAGAATATCAGCAATCAGAATCCTAAGTGGCCCTTTTGCCATAACAAAAGTCAGTGAGAGTAATGTTTTACACACTCAGGATGTGATCACATTCATTAATCATTTTATTAGACAAAGTTCAGTTGGCTTACTTTAACTTCAACTTGGATAATATTTCCCCATGTTTTTGTGTCTATGTGACAAACTGGGACAATATTCCAGCAGTGAGTGGGTGGAAATTACTGTTTTGACGATAGAGATATAGTAGCTGTTTCTGGTTAAACAAAAAGGATCTTACTCTTAAAAAAAGGTCCATCTCTGTAAGGATCCTTCCCATAATGTTGCCAGACACTTATAATAACAATATGAGCTTGTCAGTGGCAAAAACAAGCACTTTAGTGAACATACCTTGACTGGGCGCAATTGCAGCACTACATTTGCAGTCCTGGTTCGCTGCTGCCAACCGCAGCGCGCTCACTCAATACTGGACCAATTTCAAAAAATGTTGTCCCCATTTAGTCACATAGACACAAAAACAGGCTGAAAGTTACCCTTTAATGGTGTCGAGAGCCAAAACAAATCCTTAAAATTGTGCTCCACAGCCAATATTGAGGAGACATCCCTCTCAGACAGACTAATACCTGATCTCCCTCTTAATGTACCACACTGCAGACTGCTTGGAAGAATACCAAGTCTCACATTTTCAGAGGGTGGTGGTCATTTATTTGGAAAGTTCAAATGAACTACTCAAACCATGATTAGTGTGAACGCTCTCCCTCTGTGTATTTTCAGAAAAAGAAGCGTGCATTGGATGCATCTGTGTATCATGAGTCAATATTGTGAGACAGCAGGCAAGACTAATAATAGACATGTAATCTAGGGAAACTTCCTCTCACCACATATTTGACAGCGCTGATGAACTGGTTGTGGAAGAGTAAATGTTGAGATTCATCTTCAGGATTGGCAGCGGAGTAGAGCATCCCACACACGCTGCAGGCCACAGCACCAAAATGCTTCTGTCCTGCATCCTACGAGGCGAAAGAAAACAACGGGATCACTCCTTTCATTTCAATACAGACCACAAACATATACAAGACTTGCCTGAAGAAGGCCACAACCTGCAATTTCTTGATATAATTCAGATTTACAGAAGATGTTAAAGTGTGACATCTAGTTTATAATGTACTTGTTCTAAACTGTACAGAAAAAGAAATGAATTCACTCACAATAATGGTTTGGGTGCCATCTTTGTCAGCCTCCTTTAGTTTCTTGACCTCTTTTTGCAGACAAGCATCAGAGAGAGGAGTCCCGCCATCTTGTGACTTTTCTGCAGTGCTGCGATACAAACACACCATCACGCTACTTCAGATTATTATTGCTACAAGGGAAATCATGTCAAATGACTTGTAAGAAACTTCCTTACTCTTGACAAGTTTTTTCTGATGTCTTCTCGGATGCCTTATTGGTTTCTGTCTTATTCTCTGAAGAGGGATCGACACAAGTGGCTGTAAGAAAAAGGTAAGCTTCTTATACACAATTTAACTCCATTTTATAACATATCAACAGTGTCAGAGAAGTAACACAGCTACATGACCAAATCAAGACTATAAACTCTTTCAGCTCTATGTTGTCATGTAATAAGTAACAACAGTGACACATCAATTCAACAGTATTCCAGATAATTATTATCAAATCTTATGTAACAAAACTGTTGTTGTCAGATATAGCAGGATGTTTTTCAATTAGATTCCATAATAACAGCACAAATAATAATTAAATGCTTAAGCATATAAATATGAATCGCTAACTAAAAGATATCCTGAAGACAGAATCAGTCCTGTATCTAGTAATGTGACAACAACATGACGGAAGTTTAAATACATCATGCCAACTTCAAATAAACACATACGTGCAGGCTTTTGTTCACAAGGCTGTGTGCCATCAGACACTGTCGAGCTCTCTTCAGAGGGAAGGGAGGTGGTGGGAGCTGATGAAAGTGGGTCAGCTGTAACCTACGTGGGAAAGAGAAAGGGGATAAGTAACATCTTTATCAGACAATACTGTTTGTGACACACATTGTGGCAAAAATGTATTTCTGAGTTACCCTGCACTTGCTATCTTCTGATGACGGTGGATTTTGGTGGGTTTTCTGAGACACTGAACTGACTTCAGCAATGGGTGCAGCAGGCTTTGTCTCAGATGTGGTTGAACCGGCTGGCTGAGATGCTTTTGAAGCCGACTGCTTGAGCTGAGCTGTACTTCCACTACCAGTAGGCTTTAACTGAGGAGAAGCACACGCTGCAGGCTTGGACTGACCAGGAGCTGAAACAGCTTTTGACTGAGGTGTGGTCAAAACGGGAGACTTTGACTGAGCTTGAGCAGAAGGAAGAGCTTTTGGAGAAGCTGTGCCAGTCACTGCGGCCTTTGACTGGGGTGTTGTTGCAACAGTGGGCTTTGACTGACCTGAGATCTGTCCACCAGGTGCGGTCTGAGCTTTGGGTTTGCCCTGGTTCGCCATTTGTGATGAAATTGGGAGTTTTGACTGAACTGTAGGCTTAGATTGAGCTGTGGGGTTTGACTGGACATTAGGTCGTGTTGGCTGTGTGGGCCTTGACTGAAGGCCTGGCTTTGTTGGAGCTACTGGTAATGGGTCATCATCTAGTTCAAAGTCATCAAAGGAATACTTGGGCCTCGGTCTGTATGGCTTGTACTCGACAGGCTTTGGTTTCTGAGCATTGAGTCCGTTGGGCATGGGAGGGGGCACTGCCGGGAGGGTCCTCTTGGCTGCTGATCTGGTCACTTTTGGGGCGGGCCCTGGAGTAGGTGTTGCTTTGGGTATCTGAGCCTTACTTAGCCTTGTAGACTTACGGGTTTCAGTACGAGGAGGCACAGTTTGTGAGACTTCAGTTTTGGCAGGTTCAGGTGTGCTGGGTTCAGTTTTGGAGGTTTCTTTTTTAGCGGGTTCAGTCTGAGGGGGTTCGGCTGTCAGAGTGTCAATCTTGGGAACTTCTGCTTTGGGTGTTGCAGGCTTGCTAGTTGAGGCAGGACTTGGAAGAGGTGTTTTAGGTGGACTGGCTGCAGGTGGAGGAGCTGTGGTCACAGGACTCACTGAAAATGGAGAGGATACAGACAGGGGTACTTGCCAATCTATGTCAGAAAACATCTGATTTGCCTGGTCAGACTTGAGTTTCTTTACACGTGCCCAAGACATTTTCTCTCTCTGCAGTTCAACCTGTCTTAGTCTTTGATATCTTGTTAGCTTCTTTTTCTCGTGGGCTTTCAGTGGCACTGAAACCTGCGTGATGAAGAAACGCCTCTTCTGGGGCTCTGCAGCAGGCTTTGCCTCAGCTGAAGCAGTTGTCGAGGGCTGGGCAGCAGATGCCTCTTCAGCAGGGGTCGCCAAAGCAGAGCACCCTTCTGGTCCAGCAGGAGTCGCAACATTAACAGTGTCTGCATCCTGCGTGTCAACAGGTGGATTTTCTATCTTGCTGGCTTCATCCTTGGCTGCCGCTGCTGCCGCTGCCGCCGCCACAGCTGCTGCTGCTTGTTTTTCTTCCTCTATCCTCTTCAACAGCATGCTGTCTGTAGCGATGTCCTCTGCAATTTCCTGACAGAGGGCTAAGAGGTTTAGCTGCTGTCTGTTCGCCGTTCTCTTAGCTGCTGCCGCCTTTTGCTCAGCCAAAGCTGCCAGACGGGCTTTGGTTCTGGCCTGGGTGTTCATTTCTTGTTTCTTGGGTTTTCCTGCCTCCTGTTCCTTTTTATCATCTCCAGTCGTTTCAGTTGCGCTGCTTTGCTTCAAGCTGGTCCCACAAGTGTCATCTTTATTTACATAATTAACCTTTTCCTCAGACTTTTCAGGAGGCACTGCCTCAGGTGTTTCCTGGGGTTTTCCTATTATGGTAATGTCACCATCTTCCTCGTTCTCTTCCTCTGCTACTACAATCTCACGACCGATCTCTATATCCTCCAGAATTTGCACTTCTTGTAGGTCCAAGTTACCCTCAGCATTCTCTATCACCAGTGCATCACAGTCTTCATTTGTGACTTGAGCATGAGAGTCTGCAACCTCAGTCTCTGAGGTATTAATGTCCATCATGTCAGCTGATGCTTGCTGGCAAGGAACAACATTTTGAGTATCTTCAACGCCTTCCTCAGTTGAAATTCCTGTCCCAAGTCTGGCCTCCAGATGTAATACCTCACTTGAATTGGTCACTGTAGCGTCTTTGTCCTCGCCAGTTGTTTGACATAGCTGCACTTCTGCCTCAGGGAAAACAGTTTGTTGGGAACCATTTAAAATCCTGTCATGTTCCAGCTCACCTACCAAAGCGCTGTCGGGATTCACGTGCTCCGAAAGCGAGACCGACAACCCCGATTCGGCGGCTGCTTGAGTGACGATATCAAAGTGAAATTCACTGTTGGGGACTGGTTCCAAGATCACAAACTCCTGAGATGTACTATCTGGTATTTCAACTTCAGTGTGGGCTGTAGTCGTCGTCACCACAACGTCTGCAACCTCCTGAACTCCTGCGTCCTCCTGCACCTGTTCCGAAAACTCCACAGCACTGACGCAGTCTGGATACCCGTTACTTTCACTTTTCTCTGTGGCATCTTCTGACTGGCCATCTGGCATGCCGATGTCATCGCTAGAGCTGATCACGGCAACTTGTCTCACATCCACACTCATGTTACTGCGCTCCAACTGTGCAGAGACACTAGTTTCTGGCACACTGATTGTTTCAACTTCCTGGTTATCTGAGGCACAAATTTGTTGCTTGATGCTTTCCTCATTTTCCAGTCGTTGGTTAAAAATTTCACTCTTTTCATCATTAGTGTTTGAGTCTCCTGCCATCTGCTGGGTCTCTGTGCTTGCTATGTCCAGTAAAGACACACCATTGTGGTTCTCTGCTGCTGCAGATATTTCTCTGTCATCATTGCTCTCTGGACTACTAATGGGCTCATACACAACCTGGTTTTCATGAATCTCGACCTCTGACTGAATAACCGTGTTGATCTGTTCTTCTGATGCCTGAATTACAATATCTAGGTCATCTGGTTGGCCACAAACAAAAACTATTACTTCACTGCTTCCAGTTCCTTCTCCGTGTCCATCAATATTACTGACTGTTTTGTCAGCCTTATCAGAAGAAATGATTGCAGCCTCTTCTTTAACCTCATTAATCACTTGCCTCGAGGTTTCCTCTGCTATCACAGAATCTACCCTTTCCATTGATTCACTTATAACATCCATATCTGCTAGGTGATCCTCCGCACTAGGCTCTGTCTGCATGTTTTCATTATCCTTACTTTCAGTATTAGCCATAGGAAGAGGTTTGTGAATCTCATTTGATAAGGCCATAATGGGTTCATCAACTTCCCCCACCACCTGGTTTTGCTGCTCTGCTGTAGGTTCTGGATTAGAAATCTCCTCTGGCGTAGTTTCAGTTTCCATATTTATTCGAACCTCTGGAACATCAGCACATTTGGCAGTAACCTTGTCCTCGTTCTCCTTACTCACACAACTTGCAGTCACTAGATCGTTTTGAACTTCTGTGTTGAGTTCACCGACCTCCTGGCTTCCCTGGCTTTGTGTTTCCACTGCAGTTGGTGGATCTGAAATCTCCTCTAGTGTTGCTGTTGTCTGCAAATCCATTTCTCTTTGATTCTCACTAGCATCCACATATTCTGCGATAACCATGTCCTCGTTTTCTTCACTCTTGCTATTGGCAGTGATAACATCTTTATGTACTTCAATGTCTGCAGTGAGTTCATTGACCTCCTGATCTCTCTGGTTTTGTGTTTCCACTGTAGTTGTTGGATCACAGGTCTCCTCTGGTGTTGCTGTTGTCTGCAAATCCATTTCTCTTTGATTCTCACTAGCATCCACATATTCTGTGATAACCATGTCCTCAATTTCTTCACTCTTGCTATTGGCAGTGATAACATCTTTATGTACTTCAATGTCTGCAGTGAGTTCATTGACCTCCTGATCTCTCTGGTTTTGTGTTTCCACTGTAGTTGTTGGATCACAGGTCTCCTCTGGTGTTGCTGTTGTCTGCAAATCCACTTCTCTTTGATTCTCAGTTGCACTGACACATTCTCTGTCAATTAACTTGTTTTCATTTCCATTACTCTCAAGAGTTGGGATCATTAGACCTTGTTGAACTTCTTCAGATATGTCTGTTGCAGAATCAGTGATTCCTTGGCTCTCCTGGACCTGTGTTTCCACTGGAGGTGCTATAACAGAAATCTCCTCCGACGTCGTCATAGTCAGCCTTTGAGTCTCAGCAGCAGCAACACGTTCAGCATCAACGCTGCCTTCATCTGTGGTGCTCTGACAATTTGCAACTGGATGTATCTGTACTTCATCAGATATGTCTTTTGCAGAATCAGTGATTCCTTGGCTCTCCTGGACCTGCGTTTCCACTGGAGGTGCTACAACAGAAATCTCCTCTGATGTCGTCATAGTCAGCCTTTGAGTCTCAGCAGCAGCAACACGTTCAGCATCAACGCTGCCTTCATCTGTGGTGCTCTGACAATTTGCAACTGGATATTTCTGTACTTCATCAGATATGTCTGTTGCAGATTCAGTGACTCCTTGGCTCACCTGGACCTGTGTCTCCACTGGAGGTGCTATAACAGAAATCTCCTCTGACTTCATCATAGTCAGCCTTTGAGTCTCAGCAGCAGCAACACGTTCAGCATCAACGCTGCATTCATCTGTGGTGCTCTGACAATTTGTAACTGGATGTTTCTGTACTTCATCAGATATGTCTGTTGCAGATTCAGTGACTCCTTGGCTCTCCTGGACCTGCGTCTCCACTGGAGGTGCTATAACAGAAATCTCCTCTGACTTCGTCATAGTCAGCCTTTGAGTCTCAGCAGCAGCAACACATTCAGCATCAACCCCGCCTTCATCTGTGGTGCTTTGACAATTTGCAACTGAATGTTTCTGTACTTCATCAAATTTGTCTGTGGTGTGTTCACTGACGTCTGGGCTCTCTTGGCTTTGCACTTCCACGGTAGGTGCAGGATTAGAAATCTCTAATGTCATTGTAGTCTGCCTCTCAGGTCCACCAGAACTTTCAAAGCTCACCTCCTGGTCCTCATTCAGTTCTGTAGATATGTCTGTAGCACATTCATGGACTTCCTGGCTCTCTTGGTTTTGTAAGTCCACTGTTCCAGCTGGATCACAAATATCCTGCTCTAAAGTTGCTGAAGCCTGTATATCCATTTTGATTGGATTATTTGGTGCAGAGGCACATTCAAAATCCATCTCATTTTCCTTTTTTACACTTGTAGAATTTTCTTCGACTTCAACAGGTGTTTCTGTAGTTTGGTCACTAACTGTATGGTTCCCCGGGTTTTTTACATCCTCTTTAGGTGCTGAGTCAGACCTCTCCTCTGGTGTTATTTCACTCTGCGACCCAATCTGACCCTCTGAGACTGTGACAAAATCGGCGAGCACTTCTCTTTGATTTTGCTCATGAAGCGGCTCAGTGGTCTTGTCCATCACCTCCTGGCTCAGATGTAGCTCAGCAAAAGACCCAGGACGAGCAACACTCTGTGTCGACAAGAACTCAACTCCTCTCCTCTCTTCAAACTTTTCTTCAGACATTCTGACTATTTTATTCACACCGTCACATGAGCTGGTAATTGTATCTGGCACTTCGTGGCTCACTCGATCTCGCAGGTGTTCAGCTTTTGATTCCTCTTTGAAAGTAACTTGAATTTTGAAACTGAGATCTGTTTGAGTCTCTGGATTGCCAACAGACTCTGATGTTGTTAGAATGTCCTCGGTCTGATTCTCTGGATTACTAATTCCTACCCGGATCTCTTCTGGTGGTGCGTTTGTTTCATCTGACAATGCTTTATCTTCTGTACCTTCAACACTATGTCCTGCAGAGATACTGGCTGTTTCAATCACTCCCTCCTCTTTATGCTCTTCTTCCATACTTTTACATTTTATATCCAGCGTTATCTCCCCTGAAACACACTCTGTGGTCTCCTTTCTTTCAATTTCATTGCTCACATCTGCCTGACTATGAGCTGAGTCGGCCTGTGCTTCAATTTTACAGACTGGATTTGCCTCTCCAGAACTAGAATATAGTGTTTCCACTGACAATGATATTGTTTCATTATCTACATCCTTTTGGCTTTTGATGGACTCTGTAACGTCCTGCTTTTCTTTTCCACCTGCCGCAGATGTGATGCAAGGCGTATGTGCAGCTGTTGCAGTGACGGAGCCTAATATTTCTTGACGTGATGCTAGTGCTTCATTATCTAAGAGCTTTTGACTTTCGAATGTTTTCAAGTCCTCGTGTTTACTTTCATCTTTAGAGACTAAAGTATCCTTAGACTCTGTTTGTGTTGCATTAAGTGAAGTTTCTTGTCTCTCTTGCCCGGTGGATGACTGCGCAGATTCTTCGTTCTCATCCAGAGTAGCCTCACCCAGGCTCTGAACACTTGATGAATCTGAAAATCTACCATAATTGTGGTCCATCTGAACAGGGTCTGGGGGTAAAGATGTTGACCCATGGCTCGCCTCCTGTGGGTCAGATGAGGGCTCTTCAGCCTTGCGCTTAGCTTTGACTCGATTTGAGTATTTTCGGATGCAGCGGGCCTTGTCGCCATCATCCCTCTCTCTAAAGAGGTCAGTCTTACTACCATCACTACTCAACTCATCCTCGGACTCTGTGGAGGCTGTTCGCTTCAGGGAAGCTCTGGGGTTAGCTTTCTGTGAGGGAGCTTCTCCGCAGGAGGCACTTGTGACTTTCAGAAGCTTGGCTTTTTTGACAGGTGGGTCCGAACTGGTTTTGCTGGGATCCTTCGGAGGAGAACTCTGTTTGGATGACTTGGCTGGTTTATTTTCCCCTTCCACTAAAGCAGACAGTTTTTTCTTAGTCCGTGGGGCTGCTGTCTTTTCCCGCATATTTCCTGTTTTAAGGGACTTATTATTAGTGGCTGGTGCAGATTTGGATTGCAGAGCATCGCCATCGTCATCCAACTTCCTCATCTTGGGCTGAGGATCATGAGGAGATGATCCTCTCTTTGGGGCTGGCATTCTGTCAACATATTAGACATAAAGACTAATTAAAATAAGCATAATAAAGCAATGGCAGAGCAGAGTTAATCCTTACATTATTACTGAATAATTTGGCTAGGAGTCACAATTGTTCCAGCACTTTCTCCAGGATAGCATTCAAACGACATGACAAAAATCCATATTCAATAAGTAAAATCAGTCTTATTTTAGTATAAACTGTAATCCATACCCAGATGGATGAACTGTTACCTGGTTTCCCTAACACAAGCAAGAAGGCTGGCTAACGTTGGGCATAAACACTGACAAATCGCAGTTAAACCAAGTGGCTAGCGAGTCACACAACGTACGATCTACATTTACTCACTTACTCGCCATCTACATAAATGACCGATTGTCTGCCAGTCGACGGGGAGATAGTTGTCAGCAGGAGTTGTGCTGACAGAAACAGAGGTGGTCAGTTAGCTAGCTAAGAGTAGCTGGTGTGTGCTAGCTGGAAGTCCACAGTGGTGTGAGCTAACGCTAGCAGCAGCCAACTCGCAACAAATGACCAAAACCGAGCCTCGCTGCTCAAGTCAGCAAAAACAGCAGCCAGACAGGCAGAGCTGGAGCTGTACAGGGTAGTCCGCACGGTGCTAATGTCTGCGGCAAGACGAAGCAACACATTCGCCAATGAAACTCACTTTGATGTTTTCTTTTTCAACAACAGCTGTTTTTTTCCTGTGAATAAAAATTAACTGTACTTCCGGAAGGAAACGGCGGATATGACGTAGCAACCCTCCGGCCACACTCAAAAGTGGAGATTATAGTTTTGGAAGTGTGTGTGCGAGAGGGTAATTTACTTCACTTACTCACCAGAGGCAAACAATACACACTGAAGGACGTCGTTGTGATGTGAACGTGCCAGATGCAAACAAATGGGTGATTTCCTCTTCACAGGTTGGTGTTAAAAGTTAATAAACAGGATACAAAGGAGGCAAAAAAAGGACAAACCATGTAAAATATATTTATATGAATACCAACATACAAGTTCACATTTTATACAGACTTTCAGATAGACAGGCCACTGACTTGTTCTTCTCTAAACACCAAAATACAGTCAGAATCAGTTTCCAACAAGCTTATCTCATCTTCTAATTTTTAAGTCTGAACCTTTTCTCACATCACAAGGTCACAATGCCCATTTTGAGTTATTTAACAGACAATCTAACTGTGATTCAGCAATTTTACATATACATTTCAGTACCTTTCCACCGCAAACCCTGAGCAGACATTCTTCTTATACATTTTTAATTGGCTTACTTGACAGGATTGGCTTCAAGTGGGTTATGGAGGAGACACAATTATCAGACACAAACCACAAGCAGTTTTTATGTGATTTTATTTTTCAGACATTTCACCACAAAAATCACATCAGTAGCAAGCAGAACAAGTACAACACTTTACAGTTGTTAGATGTAAATATACAGAGACAATCCAATATAAATGTTTTTGCATTTGCAATATTTAGCTCAGGTTAAGTTCAGTGACTGAGCGAAAATGATATTCATTGATCGATGCACTGACACAAGGGGAAAGCATCAATAATAAACACCTTGAGTGCATAGACCCCCGTTACTTTTTCATCTCCAGGATTCCACTTCCTGGCCCGCGCTTCTTCGCACTGCAGATGTTACAAAACTGCACCCCGGGAACCTGAAACAGGAAGGAGGAAAAAGGGGTCTCAACATAGGACAGGCAAGTTATGTTTGAGATAGGGCGGGTAGATATAGTTCATGAACAGAAGAAATAAAGTGATGAGTAGCACAGACAGGACGTTACTCACTGTTCCTGTGGATGGTAAACATTCCTTGTGAAACATGTGTCTGCAGTGAAACACCACCACGCTGAAGGGTTTGGCCATGTCTGAATCACAGGTTTAATGCAAAAAAACATTAGCAATGAATAGCTTTCAAATGCAACACAGCACTAGAATACTCGCAAACAAATGCATGGACAACCCACCTGACGGTAATATGGTAGCAAGACACGATTCGCAAATGTTCTCCTCTGAAAAGAAAACCACCACATGTATGAGTACAGTTTAAAATGACTTAATCTCCACTGCTTCACGAACGTCAGGGAAAGTGCACCCACCGTCGACCCTGACTCCTCTCATCTGTGTCCGGTGCATCTTCTGGAGCAGGGAGAGGGAGTCGGCCACCAGTATCTTCTTACATCCTTCCCTCAGAAGAATCTTAGAAACAAGGAAACAAAATCTGGTTAATAAATGAAACAACATGATGAATAGTTAATTAATTCTTAAAATTTATATTTAAAAAAGTATTACTGAAACCCCCAACTGACTAACTAACTGTGATATTTTAGTTTACTCGTGCATTTAACATATACTAGTGTATTTTTAAATTTTCTGCTGGTTTAATATTTATCTTCTAATCCTTTTTAGGGGTTCGTTTTTGTCCTCATTATTAGTTGTCCTTCTCGTTTTTCTTCTTTTTCTCAGCTAAAACTGTTTGTCCAGCAAAAACTGTAAGCCCAAAACGCAGGTGGGTTGCAAATTCCACACACTACTCAGGTGCATGAAATAACACTCATCGACCTCAAGGTGGCGCTGTGACAATCAAGTTTAGGTTTTTTGCAATTCTCTCGGAAACGGCTTGGCTTAGGAGTCAAAGTTATGGTCGTCTGCTCTGAAAATGTCAAATGTTGCGCTTTTTCTCTATCTGCTTGGACCCTGAATATTGCTGCTTGTGGCTGTATTTAGCTTTTATTTTAGCTGAATCAAAGCTACACTACTAGGGAAGAACAGTGTTCACAGAGATACTAATCTTTAATCATCAAATCGTAAAGATTTCAAGTGAGACAAAATAGAAGCTAATCTAAAAGAAACATGTCTAACCTGTAGATTGTAGTCCTGGAGGATTTTTACTAGTGAATCTCTGAGGTTTGGGATCTCCATACCCTCCTTAATGCGATGGATGAGCAGGATGGGATCCACATGAGTACCAATGTTATTAAGGAGGCCAGTGATAAATGCTGGGGAGACAAAGGAAGTTTGTGAAAGTGAGGAAATGACAAAGAAAGACAAATCAGAATTACTGAGTCAATAGGAGTCTTTGTCGTACGTGGTTTGTCAATAGAGTATGAGATGAGATCCTCCCAGAGCTCTGCATCGTCCTGCTCTTTAGCAAACTCTATGGCCTTGTCCACATCCTCCAGCTCCTCCATGATCATCTGCAGAGCTCGTCTGCAGTTCCCCATCCTGCCTGGGAGCCGCATGCTGGGTTAGTTTCCTTTTAATCATTTCAAAACACACTTAAACGTAGCAAATCCTTAACACTTACTGAGCAAGAAGACAGTCTCCTCTACAAAGTTCCTTTGTTGACAAACCTCAAGAGCCTGAAAAAGACGACATAATTCATGTCTTGTAGCTTGCAGAAACTTGAGGTAGGATGACATGTAAGAATTGTACCTTTTCAAGCGGGCAGTGTGTGCTATCTCTCAGGAAAGGTAAGAGGTTTGGCCGGTCGTATTCGGCATACAGGACAATCTGTCTCTCGTGGTATTTTTGGCCTTTGTGGTGGTCTCGCTTGAACAGTTTATGGAGGTACTGTGGGGAAAAGGTGAGTCAAATTGCTTCTGAATTCTATTTTGAGAGTTAATATGATTATATTCAAAGTGATATGTATCTCAACTCACCACATGCAGAAGCTCAGGCCTGTCTGCCAGTTCTTCCACTACCCTGTCTGTCTGTTAGCACAAAGAAGGGGAACAGGATCAGCGCAGGCAGTGGATTTTCACCAGGTCCTTCATGAAAGTCTGAGAGAAGCCAGGTACACTTACCGATATCTTGTCTTCATTGTCGAGAAGCATGTCAACAGCTTTCTGATAACGTAAATTTAGAGAATAAATGACTCATTTGGAAAAACACAGATTGACACTGAAAAATAAATTCAGTAAATACAATTTGCAAATATTAAATGTTTTCAGTCTATCATCTGGCTTTTTACCTCTTTGTCAAAGTCCATGAGGAGTACGATCTTGTCCTCTATGGAGCGGAAAAGGTTGTGTTTGTGGATCAGCTGGTAAACATCTTTGTGCCTCAGTCTCAGGTAGATCTCTAAGGCTCTGTCGTACCGCTGGTCGTATGTGTACCTGTGTAGCATGAAAGACCGACAGGTTACTTTTATTCGGTCTTTTTCAACCATAAAACCATTAAACCATACAGACCCTTCAGTGAATACATCTTCACAGACAAATATTCTGCAACCAAATACACAGAACTTAATTTAAAACTCCAATCTAGATCTAAAGTGCTGAATTCCATACAAATGTATATAGAATTATGCACAAACCTTTTCATTTTGTTGCAATATTGAAAACTGATAACTTGTGTTTCCCCTCAACATTAATTCAACTGGTTCACGTGTTAAAGTCACTCACAGTTCAGCCAATGTGGTGAGCAAGGTTCTGTTAGTGGGGTCCCTCTTCAGGTGATCGGTGACTGCTTGAACAACGGCCATGTTATTATAAAGCTCTCCAGGCCATTCCCGGATCAGCGTGGCAAAACCCTTTGTGGACAGAAGAGGAAGTGGGACGAACCGTTAGCTGAACACCGGACTCGTCACAGGATGTCAAGAATATAGTGCGGGGATAAAGTACCTCATAATCAGTTTTGAGGAATTCATGCAAGATCATTTCATAGATGGCCGGTCTGAGACGCAGATCCCCTCTGGGCAAATACTGACTGATGGCCTGGAATTGGAGAGGAGTGGATATGAGACTGTTACTCTGAGAAAGAAAAGGCACAACATTTAGGAACCAAAACCCTTGACCCACCTTCAACTGTCCGATGGTCTTGAACCTGTATACTTCATTTTCCCATAGTTCCATGTTTTTTCCAAGAACCTTTTGACACTTCCTGAATTTAGAAAAAAAAGCATTCGAATCATTCAAATGAAACAAGAAGATCCTGTTTTTTGACTTTGTCAGCAGGGGACAGTCGAGTCACGTCAATTAAAAAGGAATGAACATTATACGTCACATGAACGTACAGTATATAAACTCTATGGACTGCTTAAAGCTCTGGAAAATTTTAGTGAGAGAAACTTGAGTTAAGATGTTTTGTCAAAAAAATATCCACAGCTAAACTAAAACTAAAATCTCATCCATTCAGTAACTTTGGTAATTGTAGTTAAGTGTTCCGTCTTTCTACAATTTTCATATCTTTAATGAGTGAAACACTCACTTTTTACATTTATTATCTGAATCTAGCACTTTAAATAGAAAGATTCTGTGATACGAACCCTGTCGAAAAAAAAAATAACTGTCCAACTTATCAATTGAATTAATGTACTGTACATTCGCACATGTCAAACCTACCTCGCAGCACTGTCATAGTCTCCTTTCTCCACTAAGTGGTTGATGTAATCCATCCCGATTTTCTGAACATCATGTCTCTTGATGTTTTTGAAGCTGATCTCCGCAGCCATCAGAGCCTCCTGTCACAGTAGCAGGACACACAGTTAAAACGATATAATCGTGGACTGTAACCTTTTGCAACATTCATAAAATACAGCAGCGCAGACCTCATATTTCTTCTTTTCAAGCAGCCAATCGATATGGTCATCTTGGTCTCGCTCCTTGGCCACAACAATGTCTTTGGGACTGATGATGTAGAAGAGCGACTCTCCCTCAGAATGCTCTGTTAATGAAAATACATTTATGCCTTTTGCCTTTTGCCTATTGCGCATTACGGCTGACATTTTATATTTGAAGCATAATGAAATCAGAGCGCAGTAAAACGCTTGGTGACATTTCTCTGAGGGCTGCTTTTATAGTCTCACCGAGGCGGTAGTCTCTGCACTCGTTGTCTTGAAAGTGGCGCACAGTCAGCGCATCTGAAGAAATCTCCTCACAGCTCTCAGGGAGAGGCTGGATGATGTCGAGGCGAGGCCGCGCACGAAACTCCTCGTCCTGCACACACACACACACACAATGAGTAAAAACTTTTATGTGCTCCATTAATACATATGTAAAAGAAGTCACCATTACCATGTGATCAGAGTTCTCCTTCACAAAGAACAGGGTGACAAGCTGATCAGCCAGCGGCGCCAGACCACTGATGAAAAACTCAGTCTCAAACGCAGACACTGTTTCAGAAAGAGAAACCAAACAAAAGAGCATCAAATACACCATCTTCTTGTTATAGTGCAAGATATTCTACATATCACTGCATCATCATGGCAACCATGAGACTTTGTCAACTGCAATGTTCCCACATCACTATTCCCTTATATAAATGTATCGTATAACCTGATTTAAGTTCATTTGTCTTATTTTATCCAACCACATTTTAAGCCTTTTCTTATCTAGCTTTATTTGTATTTCATTTCACTGCTGTTTTAACCTGTTCTGGCTTTCATGTTATAAAGCACTTTGTAACCTTTGTTTAGATAGATGCGCTTTTTAATTAAAGTTTATTATTACACAGTTTATTATAATGTGCAGTGTATTTATTACCTATTTCCACATAACGACTGGGCAGATCTCTCATTTCAGTAGGATTTCGCTCTTTCACAACGCAAATCTGAGGAGAAATAAGAAAATTATGGACTGGAGTAGCAAGTGTCTGTGATGATTAATGTAGTTTAAGAGAAAAGAAGCAAACCTTAATGGAAGTTCCCCAGCCAACAATGAGAGTGGCGTTGTCTTTCCAACACAGGCTGCAGGGGTACATGTCAGGCCTCAGACTGACATTATCCCGCAGCACATTTGTGATCCGCTGTTTTGTACCGATATCGTAGATTTTAACTCCCTTAAAGAAATCAGGAAAAACACTTTTCAGCATTTTAACATTCAAGACTGTATGTTTTATTGTCTCCTGCGACTGATCACTCACCACATTGTTGGCCCACGCAATGAGGTTAACTCTCCACTGGATATTAGTGATTGAACCCTCGCCTTCATGTAGAACAGAGGTCTTCCAGCGATTCAACCAGTTTCTTTCATACAGAAGCAGCTTTGAGGAAGAAACAACAGGAAAACACTGTTTGCATCTCAAATCAACAGCAACTCAGGGGTGCAGTTGTGCAGCCTCGCCTACAGAGGGCAGTAGATGAACAGCACATTGCACTGGAACAGCCAGTCAGGAGCTGCGTCTGGTATAAAGAGTGAAATAGCCTTATAGATTTAACTTAAACTGTGTGAAACTGCCTCATTCATGCTGCAAAATGATGAAGTAAAACCTGATTTTAGTCCTTATATAAAGATCTTAATTCCACTTCAGAGCATTTAGGCACAAGGACGCTGAAGACAGATTGTTCATTAGACTCGATCTAAGTGAGAAACATCACATTAGCTTCACATTCAGTGGTGGAAGAAGTAATTTTACAGTTTCACATGGTCGACTTAATTTGCAAGTGGAAGAAAGCCATAAAGAAAGGGTTGAACACTTGACGCATTACAAGCTTGATTTCATACATCCTTCTTACTCTCATCATAATGGTCACGGCTTCCTTTAGGAAACACACCATTTATTGTCGTCACTGTGGGAGGCGCAAAGTATAGAAACAAGTATTTATTTCTAGCAGAGGTGTGGACGTTCAGCGAGAGTGTTGTGCAGGTTTGGTGTTTTAAAACCACAATGCAGTGTGGCATCAAGGCAGTTGCAGAATTTTTATATGAACTGCAGTTTAATGTTCAGGCCTTGTATTGTTGTACATGCTGTAGAGGACAAAGCCTGTCATTCACATTCCCTGCATTGTTACTGTCCTTACTATATAAACTAATACAAAAAAGCCCCCAAAAAAGTGCATAATATTACCAAGGATGCCGAGAGAAGGTTGTATAGGCTCTTTAATTCAGCAGTTGGGCTATGTTAATAAACAGTTTGCTGTACAAAGAGATGATATGACAAAAGAACTGTGGAGACAAAATTGAATTTCCTTTGACAGGATGTGGCTCCCGTTGAGGCTTATTGATTTTCATCACAGGCACATTGTGGAGGCCTTCACAACTTGGAACTGAGAGGAATCAGCGGCAATTGAAAGAAAATGGCAAAGCAACACTAACAATGGGGTTTCATAAAAAAGTTGTTTTTCCTCACCCCTGTTGTATAAATGTCAGTATACTTTATTTACGGATGCTTTTGCAATGACGCTACTTCCGAGCAGTTTACCATTATGTACAGTAATGGGCATGTGCTAATAGGTAGGTGCCTTAACTTCCCCACCCCCCCAAAAGAGACAAATCTAACGTCTAAGATACTTTTTCCCTTACGTAGTGACATACCTACTGCAGACAATTCTCAGGTAAGAGGTCACCGTATGCCCCCCCGGAAACCCTAAGACTATGTACCCTCTTGATAATGACATCTACTTGCTGTGCTTGTGAAGCGTTGCCTTTCAAACACTGTTGAGCGAACAGCACTTTGTGAAAATGGGCAGCTTTCCCGAGAGCACTCCAGCAAAGAGACAGAAAAGTAAGAGCCTTTCACACCAGACAAAGGCCTGTGCATCGCCTTCAGCCGAGCCAAAGTGAGAAGGTTCGCAGGATTCGGTTTCACCCGGACACAATCAGGATGAATTATTGTGGCAGGAAATGTCTAAAAATGTACATAATGACAGCTCAAGTGAAAAGAATTACTCAAACCTACCTTGTTGCCCCCAGTGACAAACTGTTTGTAGTTTGATCTGGTGAACTGAGGATGTAACGCCACCACCTGCAAAACAATACACCAGGAGCAGATTAGGCTGTATAGGTTTTACTATTTTGGAGAGTCAAAATCTGATGTTTTTGTTATGTTATGTGCAGGTAATAGCAACAGCTGCATGCTAATAGACATCCGTTTTCAGACATCAACTTACTTTGATGGGACAGTCAAAGTTCTCATGGAAGCCCTCTCTTGTATAGAGGCCGAACACTTGCACCTGAAACAGAGATGAGACGGCAGAATGGCAAGCAAAGGTGAATAACTCAAAATTTCTCCTTTAATTGCTGCCTCTGCAACTATCCGAGGCCGGGGGGGGGGGGGGGGGGGGTTGTGGTCAGAAAAGACTTTGATTGGCTCCCAACTTTTCCGCTGGGTCACCAATTAGTGGAAAAGTTGATTCTTTGAACCCTTCAGGGTTTAGAAACAGGAGTCCTCATCTTGGACTTGAGTACAGCCTCAGTTGGCTACAACAAACCCTAATGTACCATTAGAGTGCATGACACCCGGTTTGTCTTCATATGAGGCCCAAAGAAAAAGAAGACACTTTTTTTAAGTAGGGGGATATTATAAAACTCTGATGCAATCTTTATTTTTTAAACCGCACCGGCGATTAAGGATTAAGTGAGATTTTCAAAGGATTAACAGCCAACTGAACTGGTTCAGGGCAAACAATTGCTGTTGCATTGATTTTAATTGTCTGCTCCACTTTTTTGTGCGACAAGATCTTGTTTTTTTGCCACCAGAGTGCTGGATGTAGGGGGGGAGGGTGATATCAGAGAGCATATCTTGACTGCGAAATCCATGATTTCTCACTGAAGGATGGTGGTAATGATGAGAAGAGACAAGATAACAGCAAGGTGGGGAACATGGAGAGGGTATCCATAGACGGCTGATGGCTGACTGACAGCTCAACAGATCTGAGTGCAATACTTTCCCCTACTCTTCAAAACTGGTACAAGCTTTTTATAAGTTCCCGCATAATGAAATAAAAATAAGGGTTTATGTGTAGATACGGTGCCGATAAAACTTCGGGTTATTGCTCCGACTGTGGAAGAACTGCCTTCTAAAAATTCACTACTAAACACCTCAAGTTCCACATCATTAGCATAAAGTTTAACACTGATAAGAGTTTTATATGAATCTGAGGATGAATTATGAAAGATGAGAACTGCTGATTGGCGATGTCTTTTCTGCAGGCCCAAGGATCAGTAACCAGCGGTGATGAGCAGAGAGATCTCACCTTCCCATCCTCGGAGCAGATGCCCACATGCTCTCCACTTTCATCCAGACTGATCTGGTTGATCTTCACTGAACTCTGCAGAGACACAATTATCAAGGCATCTTTTTTAGAGGCGGGCTAATATCAAATGCTGCTGGCTGACATTTTACCCCACTAAGTGAAACGCCAGAATAAGCGAAAGGCAAAAGATTTGAGTATGTGATGGATGCATAGACCCATATGTGTCAATGCACAGAGCATGGCATTAACTCTGTGGAGGTTAGGGGATCCCAATTCACTGCTGGTGCTTTTAAATTTTAGACATTCATGACACTTTAGATAAAAGGATCGACCAAATGGCATAAATTACAGCAAATGTTACTTAAAAGCTATCCCTAAAGGGTTGACTGTGCCTCTGCGTAGACTCCAGGAGAAAAAGTTCTTAGCTTATTTACAATTTCTCCAGTGCATTAGGTTCACCTGGGTATTTGGTACACATATTAAATCTGCTTTTCACTGAATTCTGACTTGTTCATTTTGAAACTACATCACAAATACATCTAGGCAGAACTCAGTGGTGTCTCTTCTGTTCAGTGAAACAACTTCCTTGTTTCTTTCAGGCAGTGACTGATAACTGGCAGTAAGTTCTTTAGGTGAGTAGCACTTGAATCAGTGTACTCAGCAGGGACACTACAGGTACAGTCATGTAAAACTGCCCCTTTTGTGTCGGCAAAATCAGCCTTGATTAGGGAATATTTTTGATTAGGGAATGCTTTTTGGTTTGCAAATTAAATCACTGTTCAGCACTCATTCAGTCCAGATCAAATGAGCAGAGGGACTAAATCAGATATGCAAGATCATTGCTGCTTATAACTTCAACACATTTTCTAATGCACCCCTATGGTACTTAATATCAAGGTCCCATTGTGTTCATTATGGTTTTTAAAAGTGCTTCTGCTGTGTTTTTGAGAAATATTTGACAATACATGCCATTTTTCCAAACATGAGTAGTGTTAAAGAAATAGTTGAACATCAATATGCTTATTTGATTCAACCCTCATGTCTGTCTGTTAAATATTATGTGACCTTATTTTAGCATAACAAGTATTAGTAAGTGAATACATGTATTTCTCAAAATGTCAAACTATTCCTTTAATAGTATTGGTCACTTTATCAAGGGAGAAGGGAACGGTACAGACATCTCTGAAAGGGTAAGGTCTATATTTTTCCACCTGGACCCTATTTCCCCATGTTTTTGTGTCTATGTGACTAATGGGGACTTTTTTTTTTTTAAATTGGTCCAGTATTGAGTCAAAAGTACGTCCACCAAATTGCTTGTTTTTGCCGCTGACAGGGTGCTGACTCAGATTGTTATTATATGTGTCTGACAACCTTAAGAGACACAAATAAACAAAAACAACAAAGTCGCACAATAACACAAACAAACTAAGCGACTGAGGCAGCGGTAGACCAGAAACTCCGTGTTCTGCGAGGTAGAGTTACTGTGTTTATCAATGGAGTCTGGTAGCTTTGACGACAGCGATATTAGTAACTGTTTCAAAAAGGATCTCTCTCTTTAAAAAAAAGGTCCATTTCTGTACATATCCTTTCCACAATTTTGTCAGATACTTGTAATAACAATTAGAGCCTGTCAATGGCAAAAACAAGCACTTCAGTGGACGTCCTTTGACGGGGTGAAATTGCACGCAAGGATTATGTTGCTGTTTCGCTGATGCTAAAAGCAGCACGCTCACTCAACACAATTTCAAAAAAATGTTGTCCTAATTAGTCACACACCAAAAAAACATGAGAAAATAACATCCAGGTTGATAAATACCAAAATGACCCTTTAAGGCCCACATCATTCTAGAAAGTTTGATACTAGGATATATTTAAATATAAAACATATGATTAGTATGATGAATTATATCTTTGGCTTAGTGAAGTACACAGTATTACAGTCACCAATAATAAATAGGGCTGTATGAATGATAAAGAGCTTCAGTTATTAAGGGACAGCACTGTGGATGAGTCAAAACCTACAACAAAAAATCATTCTGTACATAAAGGTGCAATAAAAGACAACTATCAGTAAAGTACTTTACTATTATCCTTTATTATTCGGAATTTAACAAGATTAAGAGTCTACTGCCATGCCAGGAGCTCTGAGGCTGCAGTGTTTTATGCTAAATGATAACATTAGCATGCCACATGCCCACAGCAAGGTTAACGTGCTGATGTTAATAGATATTATGTATGTTAAGCGCGTGTATAATGTTTCCCATGTTCACTCTCTTTGTTGAGCGTGTTAGCGTTAAACACAAAGTTCAGCAGAGGTTAGATGAAAAGTCAGAGGATCAACCTTGGTTGTCACAAGTCATTCTCAGGTGAACTTGAATGTCTCTTTCAAATTTCATGGCAAGAGATGTCACTAAAAAAACATGAATGTCCTATTCATTCTATACAGTCCTCAAGTCAAATCTTTCTCAAAAACACAGCAGAAGGATTTTTCAAAACCCAAAATGAACACTATTCCTTTAATATTAATGGTCACTGTTATCAAGGGAGAAGGGAACATTACTGACGTCTCTTACAGTATGACTTCTGTATTTTTTAACCTGGAACTTGTTTTTGTGTCTTTGTGACTAATGGGAACAACATTTTTATAAATTGGCAAAATTGGTCCAGTATTGAGCGAGCGTGCTGCAGCAGTGAAACACGGCTGCAATGTAATCTTTGGGGGCAATTGCGCCCTGTCAGATAACGTCTACTAGGGTGCTTGTTTTTGCTCAGATTGTTATTATAAGTGTCTGACAACATCGTGGAAAGGATCCCTACAGAGATAGACCTTTATTTAAAGAGTAAGATCCTTTTTGTTTAACTAGAAACATAGTGGTCACAAATGTCAACCTACTGGTGGCGCTAGATGAGAAGTCAGGGGATTGTGAAAGTCATTAGCCTTATTTATAGTTAATTTTATTAATAATACGTCATATGATTAAAAATATTAGCATTAGTCTTAAGCATGGCTAAAACATAAATAACATGTACCAGTAGGCCTAAAGAATGTCCTCATTATAATCTAAAGGATTTTAAAGCACTCACAATTTCAAACTTCTGGGTTACATTTCCTTGGATGTCCAGCAGGAAGACCTTTCCAAAATGGGTACCTAGGGCAAGAAACTGAAGGGAGACAAGTGTAATGTAAATTAAACCAGAAGACATTTGTAAAAAAAAAATCATGTGCTGATGAAGGCTGTGGTAGAGGATAAAAAAATATTTCCTGGAGCAGGGGCGACATGGGCAGAGTGGGGATTCTGTGGGCTTGGAGGCAAAACTGTGAAATTGCCGTGGGTGGAAAAGCCCTATTTATTAAAGCACACAGTGTGAAATGGCATTTTCCCCCTCAAATTAAAATGCTTAAGCATAATAAATGCACTGTACATCTGACTTCTTCCCATGCACCCTATGCAACCCAATCACCTTCCTGCCCAACACAGAGCTATTATTTCTACTGAGCAGCAACTGGTTTCTATGCTTTGTGCTCCAACAAAAGTGCATGTGTTTGTGTGAATGTGTGTGTGTGTGTGTGTGAGAGAGTCCACTGGGACAAAAAAAAATTATAGAAACGGGGGCTTTTGGCATTAGATTAAGTGTGTGTTCTTCCACCCCAGCCCTGCTCCATGCCCTCCTCCTAATCCCCCTCCCTTCTAGACCAGCATGTGGATGTGTGGCGAGCCCACCATGCTTCAGTGCAGTCTATAATGAAATGCTTATATTTACAGGCACAGCTGAGCATGTCAGACAGAGCCCCTGCAATCTCCCCAAATAAAATAACCAAAAATAAATAAATAAAGGGTTCAACCTTGTGAGGCGGAGCGACTTTTAAAGGGATTTATCAGAATGGAATTGTTCAAATGAAATTCGGATTCAGACACTTAAATTATGAGGCAACATAAGGCAATGTGTGCTGTTGGTGGCTTTAAGGCTGTGGGAGTTTGCTGCGGCGGTGGGGGCTGGTGTGACCACACAGGTAGCTGGGTGGAAGAAGGTATACAGAAATCCCAGGAAGAACGACAGTCAGATCAAATTTAGGATTTCAGCAAAGCAATGTCTCTCATTCTGGCATAATTGCTATTTTGATGGGGGGGGGGGGCAAATCCTCAAAGTAAAAATAAATAAATGAAAATCAATAGTGGTTAATAAAACATGTGAGGAGACATAACTGGGGGTGACTTTTGCTCTGCTCAGGCGTGCATGTGTGCTGCTGGTGCCACAACGATTAACCATCTCGCTGAGAGTGGCCCTCTTAAAAAATATCAACGTTCGACAAACAGAGGAGAGGAGCTGAAAAATATGTAAGAGTGAGAATAAAAAGAGGAGAAGACAATGGCAACTGCTGTCTTTCGATGCACCTCCCTGAGAGGATAGGCAGGGAAAGGTGAGAAAAGAATGGGCTGCCTTGAACAGGGAGCATGAAAACCGGCTTTCAAGAGGACATCTCTCACATGTGTACATAAACAATGTGAAACCTGTACTTGCGATGGGCGGACTTCAGACTGAAATGCCCTTGTGGTGGTATATCATAACCTCTACCTTGTCATGGACGGTCATACAGCTGGCTGCATCATTCTGGAGGATTTCTGTCACCCCATTGGAGAGCCTCTCATACTTCAGCTTGGGCTCCTCCTCGCTGTCCTCCTCCTGGATGAGAATGTAGACTCGTGAGATGGGCTCTCACTGTTAACATTTTCTTTAAAAGGGATTCATTACAACGGCACAGCGTCCTCTCCCAAATGTTATCGTTCACAATGTTCTTTGACAGCCATTGACAAAAACTGACATTTACTAAATGTCCAGAAAATTCTGTCCTCAAACTTTCTTAAAAAAAAGTGAGAAGGAGTCTGACGAGGTCGTGATAGGACGTCATGTGCTTTCAATGCAAACCAACTTAAAGGTGACCTGTCGAGTTTTTGACCAGAATCAGAAATACTTTATTGATACCCGAGGGGAAATTCTTTACAATTGCTTACTTTGCATGTCAAGATATTAAGGAATAAAAAATAATGATAGAAAGTAGGTAAGTAGAAAATTTAACGAAATATACTAATCTAAAAATCTAAATCTAAAGGGAGTATGTAGATGTACAGTATTTTACGGTATTAAAAGAAATGTAATGATAAATAGTGGTAGCGAATAAGGTAGTAATAATAATAATGAGCGCAGGTGGAGTTGACATGGAATGGATATGGAGTGTTTTGGTGAGAAACACTGAATGTAAAGACAACTTTTGTTAGTTTACAAGAAAACCCTCCACTTGTGTAATAGGCTTGAGATAAGCATATTTTTTAAGGAAACTCAAACAGTTAAAAATCAATATTAGAGCTTTAATAGGAATACTTTTCCAATTTCAAAATGTATGACAGGCAAAATCACATTAAATTACTTAAATTGACTTGATGTTCAATGCAATTAATTGTGTTCCTCTGTGCATTAGACAACTCTTCACAAGCATAAAGCAAAACATCTGACACATTGGTTTTTAATACTATCATATCATCACAATGCAATACCAAGCCCTACTACATGGTGACACATTTTAAGGTTTTGTTGCTTACATTAAGTTAATTTGAAAAGGTGAAATCACATGAGCTCATCGAGAAAATTCAACTTTTGCAGAATGTAAATGTTATATATATATATATATATATATATATATATATATATATGTCTCTCTCTATCTATCCATCCCACGACAGTCAGATCAAATTTAGGATTTATAATCACAATCTTCAGCAGCATAAGTAATATGTACCCAATACATTTTGGAAGGCTGGTTTTACATCCGCAACGCCCACCATCACTGCCACAGTGCCACTGAGCAACACACACTAAACCCAGCAGGTCCACACTAACGGCCAATCCTACATGTTTTCTGGCTTCTCTTCAAAGAAATTCTGAAAGTGTGTGTAAGGAGATAGACTGTATGCACAAAGACACATTTCCATTACCTTGCGTGAAATGCAGCATAAAGTAATTTTTTCATGAGACAGTTCATCCCCAGTGACATACATGAATTTAGTCATTTCATAAAGCAAACTTAAAGTATTCTACTGTGTTACATTTCAGGTGTGAGCCAACATTTGCGGCCAGTCACAGCCTGAATATTACTCATAATTCAGTTTATAACCAATGCTGCACAGTCTGTGGCTGCCCAGAGGGTGCATCAACTCAAAACGCTGTCTGCCATTATGTGCTACTGGGTTGGAGGTGGGGGACAATAGCGTGGAAAAAATGTTATTTTCAAAAACAATCCTTTCCCACTCAACAACGCCATATCTAGGCTATTTCCTGTGTATTCTAGTTGTGAGATTTCTGATGCGAGGGCATTTGTCACGGGTTTCAAAGGTGTATCAAACAACAAAGGCAAACTTCATCCCTGGAGAGAAACTAACCATTTTCAAACTTTTGCCATCTCTTGTAAGTTGCCTTTTGTTTTGTCAACTACGGAGCTGGCCTTTGTGTTGTAACCATTTTTGCCATATTCTTCACCTATTGGCAGTTAAGACAACATGCTGAACCAAGCCTTCTGCCTACAATAAGGACACTCTGCTTTCAAATACATGCTGAAGACCACAAACTCACATTTAGGATGAGAAAGGATGTCTTCTTCAATGTCAAGAAAATAAGGACTCATCCTGCCACCTTAAGAGTTACCTGACCTCAACCCCATTTAAACACCTATGAGAAATTTTGGGGAGACATGTTAAACAGACATGTTAAACTCTCCTTGAAGATGTTTGCAACACGTACTTTGTGCTTTTACAGGACCATAATTATTAAATAAAATCATATGTCTCAATATCTTGTAACTTGCCCTTTGTTGCCTATTATTATTCCAATTCCTCAGATACATACTGCCTTACTCATTGCAGTTTGTGAATAATGTTGAAATTGTAAATAATGTTGATATTATGGTGTTTTTATTCTTATTCTTATATTCATTATTATTTTATTTTTTCTGTTATGTATGACCCAATGTGTTTGCCGGAAACCGCTGACCTTTCATTACATATGTGCCTGCCCCTTGTGTGACTGACAATAAAATTAATTGAAGTTTTGTCAACTACTGAACTGGCTGAATTTTAATCATTTAAGACTGTAATGAATCCACTCCCCCACACACACCTCAGCATGTTTTTCTGTCTTTTGTTTCACTTTTTGGCTGCAAAGCTGTTACATCAAAGCAAATATTATGACATAATTTGGACACAATCTCATATAACCATTTATCTTAGAAAATGGAACCCTTTCCACTTTAAATAAAGTTGCGATTAAGCACACATATTATAATGTAATATGTAAAAAAAAAAAAATCCTTCAATTAGGTTGGAGTCATTGTTCAGGTACTTCCTTACTGACTTGATGATTCTTCAGTGTGAATTTGTCAATTAAATCTGATCATTTTGACAACTTTCAGTGCTAAAGTGAGGAAGAAGAGGTGCAATAAGTCTGTTACTGTAGTATTACCATGTGTCATCTACTGCTAAGGGTTTGATCCACTGTGCTTCAAAGTTAAAATTAAACCTATTCCCTAGACTATGTGAACTGTTCAGGAAGCAAAACAAAAACAACAAACAGGGCTTATTACTGTATGATGTAATTACAAATGAGACTAGTCTGGCCAAATTACAAAAGGTAGCGAAGAGCATGTCTCTGACTTTCAAGAGCACAGTTTTGACAAATTGTTATCCTGCTCATTTCTTCTGTGAGTAGCACAGTGTGAAGCACACAGGCCCTCACTGCCTTTATCCAGTGAAGCTGTTGTCAACCAGGTAACAGCAGCAGCAGACACCAAGCAAGCTACATTATAGTGCACCACTCTAAGTAAATAACCAGCTGCTTGCAGCCACTTGGAGGAGACACACACTCCCTAGTGCTTGTTTTCTCTGTGAGTGTTCTAGTCCTACAGTACTGAACACACTTTGCACACACACAGAAAACAGGATGTAGGAACTCTTTCTATTCACAAGCCTGGAATTTTCCCCCTTTTCCATTCACACACTCTTAACTGTTTTCATCAGAGAGGTGCAAGAGTCCGCTGCAACCTTTCCCTGAAATTTCATTCTGTTCTCTACTTCGCATAAAGACAAACTCCCCTTCCTGCCAGGCTGATGTGTAAAGCTATATTTTATTTAGCCTACTTGTGATTCTCGGAAGCACAAGTGTACTGTAACGTACCGAAGCTCAGTCATAATATTGATGGATCTGGAAAGCTATCTGTAATTCATGAGTGTTTGACACCCCTCAAAACCTGACAAAGATCCTTCTGGGATCAGGTTGTGTTGATAAAGGCTGGCTATGTAGTACAGTCCTTTCAGTAGGCAGCAAGCTTTATTTGAGTTCAGAAATCATCCATGCTTGGCAGAACTATGCCCACCCCTGTCATTGTCAATATGTTGATATCGATGCATTTTTAAATTGACATACTGGTGCAACTGCATGACATTTTTAGGTGTAATGTTTTCCCCCTGACTCTTATAACGCTATAAATTCCCTCTCACTCTTTGCAGGAAAAAGAAAGGGCAGCCCAAAGTGATAATGTGTTTCTTACCTCAGACTCATCTGTGAATTCCTCACTTTGTTTTCTGCCCTGAATGAAGACACATTTTGAATAGGTTTCAACAATCTGTCTTAATGTATTAAATACCAAAGCACGCAGCTGTGCCACATTTAAAGCTTTCCTGCAATATAATACAATTTAACTCAAACACAGCCTGTGGAGGTTAGGCAGGACAATACAGCTACAGTGTTTTATTTACAAAACAACACACAGATATCAAAACAGTGTGAGGCTATCATCACATGACACATTCACGTTTTCAATGCTACAACGTTAAATCACAAGCTAACTCAAACTGAAAGGCAGCTGACAATATTCCCCGATCACAAATCTTATTTATTTTGATACCTATACGTGTAAAACATCAACACTAGCTAGCTAACGCTAGCATGCACTGCTTACCTGGTCCTCCACTTCCGCCATTGTTATATTAGTTGTATCCGAACAGAATAACGTTAGTTATAATATCTCAATACGTGTTTAATAAATGCATGTTAAAGGTCCACAACTCCGCAGTTAGGTTTGTTTCATGTCAGAAATATCCAATATACAACAAAGTGATGTCTGTAGTCGAAGCCTGCTCCCACTGTCATAAGTTAAATCACATGACTGAAAGAAAGCCGTGAGGCATCATGGGTATTGAAGTCTTTCTGACTGAAAGACAACGACAAGTTGAGAGGAGAGGCAGTAATGAACGAGGAGAAAGCACAGGTGAGTTGAGAGTGTGTTTCCACTGTGGTATTTATATTTACAAGAGTTTCCTCCTATAAATAGCTTGTTGCTCGGTTATAACTTTATTTTTTAACTTTTGTTCATATTTGAGACCGGTAACTAACGTTAGCAAGTTTCTGGAAAATTTTAACTTAACTTTTAACATTTCTAACATTAACGTTACACAGTTAGCTTAACTTAGTTGACGTTAACGTTAGCCCATTTTCTCCCTCTGCGGCTAAAGTCTAAACCCCGTCTTAACCTGCTCTGGCAGGATATTCTGTAAACCAGAAATATTCAAGTAGGTTTTGTTATGTCAACTTGAACAATTTGAACAGGTGCCAAATAAAATAAATTAATGCTAATGCTAACGTTACATTATTAGTCATCCATACTTTACATAAGTGGATAAAACAGTTGATGGCTGCTGTGATGTATTCAGATCTTTTAGTGGCAGAAAAGTAACTTAATATATTTAAGAGACTCAAGTACATTGTTTAAAGCACTTTTTAATATTTTAATTTTGCTGTACATAATAATGATAATTTTACCCAGGCATCCTTTGCACTCTGCTCATTGTAGTATTGTCTCAATCTGTCTACATTGTTTTTGTTTATAGTGTGTAATGTTATATATGTGTTCTCTATACTAAGTAAGCACATCGTGAACAATGTGCAATCCTAAGTCAGAGTCCTCCTATGTGTACACATACCTTATAAATAAAGCTGATTCTGATTCTGATTCTGATATTTTAATTTTATGGTACTTTTTACTTATTCTCTACTATACGTCAGTGAGATATATTATTGTACTTTTTAGCTACATTTATCTGACGGCTAGTTAATGATTTGCTTATGAAATAAAAAGCCTAGCCTGCAGTATATTAAGCACCACTACAGCCAGCTAAATAAAATACTACTTACACTTAAATGCATCCAATGATATTAATCTAAATATATGATTTTATAATTAGATTTGGGGTAACTAATGCATAATGAGTACTTTTACTTTATGTACATTTTGCTGGTAATACTTTTACTAAATTAGGAGTTTAAATGCAAAAATGTTTAATGGAGTACAATGTTATACAACATTGTAAAAAGCCTCTTGTATCTGAATACTTATTCCACCACCCAGTACAAATTGCAGTACAGCAATATTCAAATACTTAGTTGCAAATAAATGTCTTGTAAGTATTATTAGCAAAATATATCATATGTATAACGTTATTATACAGTAGAGTGTTAACTGATGCATTAACATGTATGCGGCATGAATGTTACAGCTGGACAAGGTAGAGTTCATTTTAACAATGGACCGTATTTTTTACACTTGTCAGGTTTTGTAGATCTAATTCTGAAGAGTTGAACTGCCATATAAATGTCTTGTCAAAAGTACAATGTTTCCCTCTAAAATGTAGAGGAGCAGGAGGATAAAATGCAACTTTTACCTCAAAATTATACAGGACAGTACTTGAATAAATGTACTTTCCACCACTGGGTGGTTGTCGCAGATTTCTCTGAACTTGTTGCCTCCCTCGATAAACAAACAAAAAAGATAAACACACTTTTTGAGTGAGAAATCAAAATCTCAACATTTAAATGATGTAGCGTGTTTTAAACATAGTTATCTTATTGGTTTTGTATATTTCCAGACATTCCTGGACACTGTTCAAATGAATCCCTCAGATATTAGTCGTCTCTTTTGGTCCTTCGTCACCCTTCTGACAGCTGCTTGCCAGAGTCCAGATGAATGCCAAAGGTATGATTTGCCTCTTCTTTATTGAGATTGTCTCACACCCCCATCTCGCCTCATCCATCCTCAGGAGAATCCTAATGCGCTGATACCAAGGGGGAATCATTTTTTTTTCTTTACAATCTACTTAGCAATGATTTATTGATTGTGGCTTCCACCCTCGCAGAGAATTACCGATCCTTTTTGGGAAATCAGATTTTCACACCTTTCATGAGTGTGTATGTGGCACAGGTCTCCAGAGACTGTGTGAGAGAAAACTGACTTTGAGGAGCAGCGGTGTGTGAATCTCTGCGGTGTCACTGGTCTGCTGTCAGTGCTATGGCCAATGGATGGCCCTGTAATTCTCTGCCGCTCTCCCCATCTCTCTACATCATTTATTAGTTGATAAATACAGTGTCTGAGCTTGATTTCAATATGTTTTCATTCCCTTTCAAACCATTAAAACACATGGTTAGTCTGCTTTCATATCATAAGCATGCAGGAGCCCCTCTGAGGTATAAGCATTTCAAATGAGAAAAAAGGAAAATAACAAAAACAACCCTTGCCCTCATAGGAGGAGTCAGATTAGTGTGGTGAAAGCTTTGATGCTCCAGAATGTCAGCTCCGTGGATCGATCTAGCAAAAAACACACACACACACACACCTGACCAATCCGAGGCGTCTATCTGTTGTGGACCTGCTGGGCACCGTGGTTTACAAGCTTCAAAGAGCTCCTTTTAATACACTGCTTTGATAGCCCTCAGCCTTCACTGACCCGCCGACCATTCACTGGGGAGCATTTTCGCTTTAGTGGAGTAGAGAGGGATAACTGCTGATCATAATAATGAGTCTGGGGAAAAATCACCTCAAATCTTGACTACTTATACCACTGGCCTGCTATTCCAAAACAGTGTGCACAGAGAGAGTAGAGTAGCTAGTAATTTTACAGAAAAAACAATACAAAGCTACTGCATTGCTCATGAGTAAATCACAGAAATTACTACAGCACCAGTAGACTGGGTGCTTTGGTGCTGAACTACACAAAGATCCTTTTACCACGAGAGAGAGGAACAGTTTGATTAATAACCCTAAGGGGGAGACAAATCATCATCGACCATACCACATTAGACACTAAGGTCTTGGGATGTTTGCCCAATACAGTAGAGTAAAACAGCAGAACAGTTAATCCTGTAAATCTGGATTCTCAATAATTGTTGGCCCTTAAAAATATGTAATGTTCAGTATTTAGTTCTTAAAATAAAGTTAAATAAAAGGAAAGATCTCGAGTATGTATGTCTTGTTTTAACATACATGCTTACAGTCATTTTCCATATAACAAATTACTTAAATACATTTTAGAGCTCAGTAAGTGTGAAGTTGTTTGCAGACACTAAATAATTTGTGCTTTGAATACTTTTGTTATCTCATAACCTGACAAGGCAAACACATGATTTGACAACGATACATTACATTGATGTTTATAATAGCGTGTGAAGCCTGACAGAGAAGTCTGACACATGATGAGGTGTGTTTTGGGTAGATTTTAAAATTAATTCTTTTCATTTGTAAAAAGGAAAAGGGGGCAAGGGGGAGCTGTCACTAATTTCACCTGGTGGTGAGACATATTGAAGAAAATATTGGAAAACGAAACAAAAAATTTAATCTAGTTTCTTTATAATTATTACTTTTATTTATATATATTTTTTGCTTGAATTCCAGAGTTAGTTTGTGTGCGAGAAAGTTTAATTTCTGGTATGTAGGACTGCAGCTAGCTATCATTTTCATTATTGATTAAACATTTTGTCTAAAAAATTCCAGAAAATAGTGAAAAATACCTGTTATAATATCCCCACAGCCCAAGGTGATGTAATCAAGTCGCTTGTTTTGTTTGGCCAATGAAGTGATTATCAAAATAGTCTATCAATTAATTAATTATTGCAGCTTTACTAGTATGCAACTGTACTCTCTTCAGCTACAATGATTATATGATTATATTAGGATTAAAACGCTTTCTTCAACACTTTAAATGTATGTCAGTGGATGTTTTGCAATATTTCTTGTTAGTACAAACACATTTTGTATGTAAATATATGATATATTTGAATATTTTGCATATATTTACTATGCTAATATTAATTAATGTGTGATTAAAGCAGATGACCATATCGTCATATTTGAGTTTTCAGGGTTTCCACTGGTTGCTGCTGAGGGGTGGTTACTTTAGTCAGCCGTAAAGTGTGTAGATAAGCTCAGGTTGCAGTGTAATAAAAACTGTGTGTTGCGTTAATTTTAAAAGTCCTGTTTATGTAATAACACTACAGCACCTTCTACTCTTCTAGACGGGGAAAAGCCAGCTCGTTAGCAGCTGCAAATCACTGTGATTTCTTATTTTGTGTGAAAACAAATCCCAAGAGAAACACAATAAATCACCTGATTGCTCCGATTACTCTACTGCGGCTTCCAGCTCCGAAACATATTTGGGATTCCTCCGGTTTAGGCTTTTTTAATTGACTTTAGCCTGAGTTGTAGCTGCTAACTAGCAATCTTTTCACAGTCTGGACCAACTCTGCTGTGAAGAGAAGAAGACGGCATAGAAACGTTACAAAAACAAGGACTTTTAATTTATTCTGTGTCAGCAAACACAACACATAGCCTTTCAGTAGAGCTCATCTACACCTTTATGGCTGACTAAAGTAATGTAACTACAGCTACACTCCGTCACACACAAAGGTTTCCCACAAAGCCTCTTCCCTTAAAGGGCCCGGCCAATAACACGCAGGTGCAGTTAAGCTGTGGGTGTGTTCTAAGCAGAGTTGTATTCAGGTCCATTACTCAAGCAAAAATACTAATACCAAAATCACTAAATGAATGAAAATACTCATGATAAAAGTATAATTGCAAAATTTACTGAAGTAGTCATTGTGCAGTAAAATGGTCCCTGTCAGCGTTCTACTATTACATGATGTTTTTTTACTGCTTGCATTTTACTTCTGTAGATGTTTAAGGTTGGGCTTAATTTTAATAACTTCATATTCTGTTGGGTAGTTTAATCTACAGCACTGCATCATATTCTACATTTAAGAATGTACAGTATTTTATTTGAGACAAAATGTGTATATTAAGATATACTGTAAATCTTATATCGCGACATGGCCTAAAAATATCAAGATATTATTTATGAGTGATATCGCCCAGCCATAGTATAAACATAGCTGTAGATTCTCTTATGTAGTGTTGCAGCTGTTTGGGCAGTCCATGTTGAATACTGATATAAATAGTATATTATAAATCATTGTGAATAAGATAAATCAACATGATGACAATTATGAAGAGTGTTGATTGTTTTGTTTTTTCTCCATTAAATAAACAGAGGAGACTTTAAGAGAGGAGTATGCCGGTCTCATCCAGTGTCCCTCACACTGGGACAGCAGTGGTAAGACCACTAGCTATTAGCATGGATATCTGATGACACTCGGGACTCTCTGCTAACCACTGATTGTTCTGCCACTGGGGGTGTTTGGTGAGCGGGAGGCGGGGGGGTGATCAAGTGCTTTTCCTTGTTCCTGCAACCTGTTCCTGAGCTGTGGCCAGTCTGAGCGAACAGAGGAGAAACGAGACAAACCATCTCCCTCATGTCTGCTCCAGCCAACCTTCTCTCACGTGCTCAAACTCACATTATAACCACGCTTTAACCAGAGGTTCCCTTAAAAAATTAAGCTAATCCGTTACACATCCACTGCTTAGAATCAGTAATGTAATTTCTTATGGTAATTTTTAAAATATCCCCTTTTATTACGGATTTTTACAATAAGATTACAGTTATCCAATTATGTGTAATTGCATTACTCCCTGAGCTTAAATTGATAAACACGCCCAATTTGGAGGCATGATTGCAAATAGGCAAAGCTGTCTGTTTTGAAATGAAGTAATTAACAGCTGCCTAAGATGGTGAGATATGTGTTGCCCCCTTATCCTCGAGCCTCAGAGACCAGGGGAAGATTAGAGCTCTGATCTCATTCCCAGCACTTGTTTGGAGTCTGTCAGGAAGAGAAATGCCAGCATTAGAGAGGTACCGCCACACTCCTGATATGATGAAATAAGGAGAAAAGGGGAAAGGGAAAAAGATGGAGGGATGGACAGAAAGGATCCTGCCCTTCTCTGAAGTGTCAGTAGCTTGTTTATTCTATTTTTCATCGTAGCTGCTGGGGCAAAGATTCCCATTTTTCCTTTATTTTTTTCCCCCCACCTCGTAACAAAAACCACTGCTCTCATTTTTTATAGGTCTTGCAAACTCTCATGCCCCAGTGAAAATTACATTGTGAAACGGTAGAACTTTCAGGGCTGCCTGTGCTCTCCCCTGTCCCTCTGAGCTTTCAAACAGTCAACAGACTGTGAAGAATAAATAATAAAAAACTATTGATTATTTTGATGACTGCAAGATTCAATTAGGTATTAATTTTGCCCTCCAGTGGACCTATCAAGCAACTCAAAGGAGAGGAGGTGGGAGGTGTGGGGTGGACCTAAATGCATGCAGAGTGTGGCCAGGCTCAGACAGAGGGGAAAATGTGTTTACCTCGGCGGGCAGAGAGGTGCATTGATGCGCAGTGTCCCACATTTAAGTGCTCCACAAATGAAGCCCTGATGACTAGGGACATTGTTACCAGGGATATGAGTATTGACCAGCTGGCTCACGTTCCTAACGACAGCTTAAACTATTTCTATTGATTAACATTTTCATAGATTATCATGTGTCATATCAAAGAAGCCTGATTCCCGTGATGAGCACATTAAAGACCCCTCTGGACAGGAACTCATCGACCACCCTGATAGAAGTGGATGGGGCAGCGGGGCGGGTGTTGATGGCCGCAGGGGCAACATAAGACTCACCCTCCTTTTTCCTTTCTGTGCCTATATGCGCTGCTCACCTGTCCATTTCTCAGATATATTTAGGTTGGACTTAATTCATAAATAAGGTAGAGGGCCGTAGTCCTGCTGCTCTGTGTCTGTGTCTCAGAGCCTGAGGTGGGTGAACACTGTCTGAGGAGCTCTCCAGTCAGGGGACACAAGGGGGAAGAGACAGAGGGAGTGAAGGTGGGAGGGTGTGTGTGTGTGTGTGTGTGTGTGTGTGTGTGAGAGAGAGAGAGAGAGAGAGGAGGTGACATCTCCAGTGCATGTGTGATGAAGCAACCTCAGGCTTGAACCCTGTGGTGGTCATTCAGATACACGAAGGTTGAGGAGGCTGCTTCTGGTTCAGTAGAAACCATGTACTAGCTGGTCTCTCTGCTGTGGTGGCGTGTTTTAGCTGCTGTTTGACTGACTTCAATATTTGGACTTTCTGAAAACTCTTTATTTTTTTTTAACTCTTTTCTTCTGGAGCTTTATTTAGGTAAGACAAGTTTTTCAAAGGCTTTTAAGAAACTTTCCTTTTAATGTTTGTAAAAGTCAAACAAATATCCGTAGACTGTATTCTATTAATTAATAATAGTAAGTGGAGTTTCCTTTAGATAAGATGTCCTGATGGAAGCAACACCTCTGATGGCATTCATAAAATTCTCTTAAACATGTTTTTTTTTTTCTCTAAACTGTGAAATATCAGTTTATTTTAAAGTTTATCATTTTTCACTTTGCTGAATTTATTCTATTCCAAAATGTTCAGACAGATAATACTCTATTCTCTCATCTCAACTCTAATCACGTAGATGCTGTTCATTCTCGTTTCTAAGTGCTGACACAAAAAATGAAAATAATTGGGAGAAAAAATTGGGAACATCATTGACTTCATCTCTTGTTTAAATCAGGCCTTAAGTTCACGTTGCCTGACACTCTGCTGCGAGATGTCACCTTTGATCTCATCTTGTGTCCCCAACTATGTGAAAATTGATATAATCACTGGTGTTTATTTTCCCTCATATCTTTAGATGTAGAATTACATTTCATTTATTTATCAGCGTGCAGCCCATGGACACCTTTGTAGACTGCTGTCAGCTTAGTGTTTGCTGAAGATGAGGCACATGTCAGGTAGTAATGAGCCCGTGGAGATGGATGCATCACCGTTTTAGGGCTGCAGGATATAATGGTAAAGCCACGCGATCCGTAACAGTTCTTCACCAGGCAGCAGCCGGCAGTATCAGCGGGGTAGCACCAGCCTCAGATAAAAGAGAGGAGAGGGAGGGAGCAGGAGAGAGAGGGAGAGTGATGAGTGAGCAGTAGAAAGGAGAAGCTGGGTAGAGAGAGTGAGACACAGAGAAGGAGCCGGTGAGGGTGAGACGCAGAAGCACATCTAACCAGGGGTGTTTTCTCTTTTTTTTCTCCTCCCTGTTTCCCACCTGGGCTCCCAGCTCCCTCCAGGATCCGATGATTACTGGGCAGCTGAGCAAGCCGCTGCTCTCCCTGCGCAGCGACATGAGCGCGGCAGAACTCCGGGCGGACGACAAAGCGGCCAGCCCAGACAGCGATCTGAACGACGAGCCCCTGCTCCTGCCCTCCGAGGCCACGGACAGAGAGGGCACTCCCAGCAAGCTGTACGGTAAGTCAGCTCACCTCTCGTTTGTCCCTTCTCCTTCGTAAAGCTGCAGGTTGAGGTCTGTTTTAGGCAGCGGTGGATGTTGAGGTGAAAACAGAAAGCTTCCGGTGCTGGGACAGGTGTCAGCAGTGTCAGGCAGAAAACTAAGTTTAAGTGCAACCAGCAAGTCTGTGTTTGGCTCTTTTAAAGCTTGGATATCTTTATGGATAAATTGTATTTAATGCCATGTTTGTGTGTTAAAGTGTTTCATGCACCTTCAGACTTTCGGACTTCATTTTTGTAGTCAGGTTAGTTGAAAGTGTATGGTCAAGACAACAGGTTAATAATACTGCTGTTCCTTTTGAAGATGCAGTACATTTATATTGTACTGTCTGTCTTAAATGTTAAAAAAACATTTGTGGATCATTTTGATGCTTTTCTTTTTTTGGTAACATCTTTGCATGAGCTTTTTGAAAAATGTATTAAAAAGTTTGACAGACCCTTAAAAACCTTTTTTACCTGTCAGGGTATTTAGCTTCAACCCCACCTTCACAACTCTGGTGGTGTTTGGTAACATTATGTAGTTTTTCCTTAATTCAAATAGAGAATGTGATATATTTGTAATTTGTACATTGTTAGAATTAAAAGCAAATTGTTCAAATAAATAATAACTAACTGTTAAATATGGTATTTATCATCAGCACATTATATATAATATTATAGTTTCTAGATTATTGCAGAGGCTTATCTTCCTCCAGTTATTTATTTTTAGTTTTCAGTTTGTTCAGTTATTTACAGTCTTTTGGCATCTTCAGTTGCAAATTAGCCAATTTCTATTTCAGCATGCCTCATTATTTTTGCAGTTATCTCTTTAATTGAGTGTTCACACTCTATTTTAGTATTTTGCCTAAATTGGTGTGTGTGTGTTTTTTTTATTATGAGCTGTTTCAGTCATGTGGACCAATTCAATCACTGGGCCTCGTTACGAATCAGCAAGCATAATCATATAAATTACCATTTTAGCTCTTTTTCTAATTATTTGTTGTAATGAGAAAAGTTGTTTTTTTTTCATGAGATGCTTTCATGAGAGATACTGTATATGTTTATTTCAATAACTACAAACTGAATATTTGTGTTTACATCAAATTACAGTGTCTAGTAATTGAAGATTTTATCAGATTTGTCCTTGTGGAGAGATATGCAGAATTTAAACTTGAATTTATATATTTAATTTCAAGGAAATTATGTGGTCTCATCCTTTATAATTGTGAAATGCATCCATTTCTACTGAATACATTTTTAAAACAAAGACCTCCATTTTATTTGCTTAATTTCAGTATTAACAGCCCATTGTAAATATTGTGCAGGACAAATATGATGGACTTCCTATAAAAAGCTGATTTGCTCAACATAACCTCGTCTAGTTTTAATGTTATTATTATTATTATTATAGTATACATTTTCTTTGTATGGATGGAAGGTGACAAAATGTGTAGATGTTGGTTTCTGTTTGGAATATTTATACAAACTCTCCTGTCTCCTCTGCTTGTGATGGTCTGTCTGCTTTGGCATGTCATTGTTTTATTGCTGGTTATGAATACTGCAATAAACACTGCATATTTTGTGTTTCAAGATTTTAATGAAAGTTGTTAATGGGATCTGATTATGTCTGGATCTGTGTGTGTGTGTGTGTGTTTCCTGGGAAGTGGCAGAGTATAGTGTATAGTGCCTTTATACTGAGCTTGTCAAATGTTTGTGAATGAAATAAAATAAGAGTTTGGAGGTGGGATAGCCAAATATTACTCTCAACCCTCATCAGTGAGAGTTCAGATGTCTTTTAAATCATAGAGTCTTCTAAACAAGGACTGTGTACTGTAGGATTTGTCTCAGAAGTGTTGCAATTTGGTTTAATAAGCATCAAGTCTCTCCCTCTTTCTTCGTTTCTGATCAGTCTCTATCTGACTCCTCTTCTGCTTCTCACTTGCTACTTTTTGCTTCTCTTTTTCCCTCATGCACATACACTTAAATGTTGCTGAATGCTTTACTGCTTATTTATATTTGAAGTTATTTTAGTTTTACATAACGAATGCTCCTTTACTAATGACAAATTACTTAGGAGAAACATGCAAGTAACATATAGGTTCTTAAATATGCTGCTAATATCTGGAACCCTAAGATTTTTTGGGTCTATTTTGGGCTCGGTTTTCCCTGATGGCATGTCTTCATACTGCATGTGGCTGGTCGGAGCCACTCCAGTGTAACTTGTGAATTTTGTGGGGGGATGGTTTCTCTCTGCCCGGTGGCGGAGCCCTAGGCTGTGCCAGCGGCAGGTTTGGTTTGGGAACCGCTGCCCACATGACCTGTCAGAGAGAAAGGCAGGGACTGACGAGGAGATGTGTCACAGTCCAACAATAAGAGAGAGTAGGGGTTTGAAGAAGAGAGGCTCAGCATGTTTTATACATTTCCTTAAATGCTACCAGACAGGAGGGAAAGGTGTGGTGATAGTGGCTGGTCACTGGTCTCCTTGTTGCAAAGAGTCTTTTGTTTGGTATTTAGTTGAAGTTTGAGTGAACATTTTTGGAAACTAACATTTAAGCTGCACATGATTGGATGGATTATATTGCCTGCTATGAGTTGAACTGTGTCTTTGAAGCCTCTCTAAAACCATCTGAGCATTAACCAGTAATGCAAAGACTAAAGCTAGTTGATATTTTGAAGATATACAATGTCCACACAAAATGAGAAATAATGCATCTGAAGGTATTTTGACGTTTTGAATAGCCAAACAAACATTTTAGACTGTAGATAGGATCTTTTGGTTTGATACATCAGTTGGATGTTATGTTGTAGTTATTTGAGCCACATTTGCTTGTTTTTGTGTTTGCAGTGAAGTCTCATGGTTGCAGGGAGATTGTATTAAGTTTGCAATTCTCACCACTCTATTATCAACGTCAATGCCGCTGATATGAAAACAACCCTGGATAGAGCTTATGAACTAGGCCTTATTTATTCAGTGGTTTTCTTTATGTGGGTCTGAACTGTGCAGAAGCCGCAATATTAAGATTCCTCCCTTTTACTTGCATTGTGGTAAAGAAGCAAGGGGTAAAAGAATACTTTGGATTCCTCAGTTTCCACAGAGTGTAGAAAAATGAAAACTTTGTTCTGTTATTTTGCATAATCTCTCCGATCGAATGCTCCAATTTCATGATTGACAGCTGCACACACACTAATAGATTCTAGGAAATGAAAATCACATAGAGACTTAATTTGCTCCCCTAGAATTCAAATATTACTGTTTCTATTGTCTCGAAAGAACAATAATGACCTTAAATGCAGTGGAAGTGAGAACATCTTTAGTTTAGTATAGTTTAATTATGTGCACACGCATGCATATACAGCTAGCTGACAGTGTGCATCTCTTGATTCATGACTGAAACAGTTTTGAGGATAAGTCTTCGGCTGAGAACAACCTGCAGATAATTAGTCATATACTCCCAGAGACAGAGTTGTACAGTATCTCTTGTCGCTTGTGCTTCTTTTGCCCAAAAGGTGTGAGGAATATGCAACCCTGTAGGTTACTGTCTCTTCTGGCAGTGTACATCAATGTCTGTTTTTTAGCATGACAAAATTGAACCGTTTTGAATCATCATTGCTACAAAATCTTCACCCTATGAACTTTAGTATCGCTGCATGTTTACTTTGTGCTGCAATTACGTGTGCCATACATGCGTTTCTATATTTAGAGAGCCTACCACAACTTTTCTTCCCTGCAGAGTCAATGTATGACTTTAGTTTTTGTGCCTTAATACTGTGTATAAGGGTTTGTACCAGTATGAGAAGGAGAAGTCAGTGGGAGACAATGACAGTAGCGGTCATGTTTGTCTACAGTAAATTGTCCACCTTCTACACCCACCACATACTTACTGTGGTGGTGAAAGGGTCGTTCTCCTCCTAAAAGCTTGCCTGTGCAAATAGTCTTCCACTTCAGCTAACAGGGGCTACGAGGCACCACAAACATCCTGCCGCCTTGTATTTATTCCAAGTAGAAGTGGACATTAGGTGGGAAAGCTGTGGTTTGTAGGGCAAGCAATTTTTTTAAAGGACGAGATGGTGTTGGATGCGTACAGTTTCTGTCTTCTCTTCTCAAGCAAATCTCCCCCTTTTAGACATCAACAGACAAGATAATAAGACACTCAGAGCACAATTCCGTATTATATTCAGCAACCAAAGGCTCATCTCTTGTCAGTTTGCATTTACTCTCCCAAGGATGTGACGCTTCTATCATCATGCTGTCAAAGAGAGCCAGGCTGGAACGACAGGAGCACTCATTTCATACACTTACTGTCTACATGAAATGGTCTGCACTTATACGGGTTCTGCCAAAATGGTGGAACATTTTCACAAAGGTCACCTAGAGACCCCCCTCCCCAAAATGAATGTTTCATTGATTCCTGGTATTGGAGGTCATTCAGAACAAAAAATCCACGTCAAATACATCAAATGTGCTGCAATGCTGCACCATGCTTATATGTGTTTCCAGGTTTGTTAGGCTTCACTTACAATCAGATCATAAACTGGATTAGTGAAATTCATTTAATCCGGACTAGTCAGCCACACAGGACCATCTTTATTTTGGAGAGGACTTTGTTTCAATACTTCTCCGGCCTTAAATCTATCTTTATACTGTTGCGGAAGTTTCACCAACCACTAACTTTTTTATATATCCAACTGGGTTTTGTATTTAGTTTTTAACTTATAAATGACCAAATTCAGTTTACTGGAAGTCAAAGATGTCACTTTAAATACTACGTATGTTTGATTTTTGAGTGTGCTGTTGATGGACACTATTGTTTCATAATGCAGTACACAAAGATGGAACTTCTCGCAGCTGGAAAACATTTAAACTAATAGTGGACAGTGGTGAAGCAGCTTCAAGAATGTCTGGAAAGGACAGAAAAACAGTATTAAATCTTTGAATTAACATTAAATCTTTGTTAAATATTGAGGATATTGACATACAGTAC